AATTATCATGTTATATTGGAGTATGAACATATAATATAACTCGTTCACATATTTATTATAAGTAATGAAAATGGAAGAATTCATTTTCAAATTTTGGAATTTGATTCCTTTGCAAATTTTGGTAATTGATTTTCTAAATTGAGCAAAACATGCTTGATTGTTGTTTTGGGTCAACAAACATGCATTGGATTTGGTTAAGGCTGAATCTAGAATCATGTCACGCACTATAAGAGCACTTCTACTCATTTGTCATGGCAAAAGACAAAGGCAAGGTAAGGGCTGTTACTATTTATCTGAATAGTGGCAACCCTTGCAAAAAACTTGTGGTGTTTCCACCCATTACCATGACAACTTAAGGGTGTTGAGGCCCAAAAATCCAAGGACTAGGCCCAAGTTTATTCTTAGCCCAACAAGAATAAATTGATCGAGAAAGAAACCCAATTGGGACATGAGTTGTGGGATGCACCCACATAAGCCGGGGGCCATGCATCACACCAAGTAAACATGCGCAAAAGAATAAAAAATGCACCAGCTTTATAAATTCACACTCACCAACCTATCTGATGCCACTGGGCCCGATCATAGCTTATTGCGGTACGAAGTACAAGCATGTTAAATAAACACGCGATGTCATCTAAAGAACCACTATGCCAACATCAAGTCATGCTACAAGCTTAAGTGGGCCCAAGCTACATAATTACTTGGGGCTTGCTGTGAAGGTTGTAGTATGGAAGGAAACAAGCAATCACGGGGCCCATTGAGGGTTCGAGGAGCGAAAGTTTTAGGCCACTTGGGAGCATTAAAACTCAAGCTCGTTCCTCGAGCCCAAACACATAGGTTAGCATGAGAGAGAGGAGGAAAATTATCCAATGCCTTGGGAGGATATCTAGTAGTCTACCATAGCACTTAGACGAAGCCAACATCAATAAAATGCCCAAAATTAAATAGGCTGTTTCCAGCAACTTGACGAAAACTCATTAGGCACTAGAAATAATGTGTTAATAAACCCATAATGTACGCACAAGCCCAGCCCAGCAACTTGTAGGAAAATCTGGCATCGTGCTTCACCCTCGTCAGAATTCCAAGATGGTCAACGAAGAGCCACGGTAGGGACCAAAGGAAATCCATGAATGAAGGATGAATACCCATTGGACAAAAGACTCTACCCATTTTCCTTTCCTCTATAAACTCCATTTTGAAAACCAAGAAGAAAAGCAGGTGGCGCCTCACCCTCATGGGAAGGTCCAGCCACACAAAACCTTTGGAACCACAAAGGGCTCCTTACCCATGCACCTTGGATAGGAAGATTTCACCAAATAGAATCAAGTGGGAATAAGCAAAGAAAAATAAAGAATGAGGTTAGATAAAATTAGGGTTCTTTGTGCCTATAAAAGGGAGATTTCTCTGCCTAGTAAGATCGTCATCCAGAGCCTGACCAAGCTTTGTCAAGTAACTGGGAATTTACTCAAGCCACCCAATCTTCTTCTTTGGTCGTCTTCTTCTTCCCCTGAGATAGAGACCTCCTTAATTTTTCTCTGCCCTGTTTAAATCTCTGTTCTCTGTAAAGAAACTCACGCCTCTCTCTCTCTCTCTCTCTCTCTCTCTCTCTCTCTCTCTCTCTCTCTCTCTCTCTCTCTCTCTTAAGCTCCCATGCAACAAGCTCCTCAAGCCAAGTCATTTATCAATTTATTATGTTTCTTTCGCTATTGGTGAAAAGAACCTAAGAGAGTTTTTCTAAAGTTTCATCAAACTCTTCAAAAACTCTTTTGGGAGCGTGGTTTTTCGAACTCAGGCACTGGGGGAGTTCTGTTTGTTTTCTTCTTACAGCAGCTCAAGTCCATTCGTCAGGCTGTTGGAACAAAGAGACCCCTACAAAGGGCAACCACTATTCACATAAGATATGAGGAGATGAATTTGTATAGAATTTTAGTGTAGGAAGTGAAGAATATGACTAATTATTTATTTTTTTAAAATTCTGAAATTTTTTAGTTTTTTTTAGATATTTTTTTCGTTGCTGGGGTCAGCAAATCCAAGTAACAGCCTAGGCTATTCTTGCCTTCTGGCCTGGCTAGGCTTGTGGAGCCCAACAGCTACTCGGGCTGCATTTGCGCACTGGAACCTCTGCTTGGGGCTTGGGCCTTCTCCTGCTAGGGCCACAGCTTTCCCCTGAAAGTGCTCTAAGGAAACAATTGATTTAAGGTCCTATGAGAATGAGAAAAACTGCCACAATATTTATATACACATTTTCTATCTATTTTCTCATGTAGAACTTCTCCTCTACAATCTAATCCTATAAAGGAGACTTGGATCCGGCCATTGATGGCACTTTTAATATATATATACAGTCGATCGGAGAAGGGGATATTCCAACACAAGATTTCGAGTGTAAAGAAAAATAATTATTCTTAATCACTTAAACTACGTACACTTTACCACATAGAAAAAAGATCAAAACGTTTAAGCGATAGGAGGACTCGCGATGAAAAGGTCAAACAAAATTACAAGATGTGTGATGTGAACGTGGAAAGAAAGTAACAACCATACCCCCACAACCAAAACAACCTAGAAGAGCCATATAGAAATAGGGTTCGACAAAAAAAAAAAAAAAAAAAAAAAAAAAAAAAAAAAAAGCCTAAAGAATGAAAAAATTCTATTCTATAGATGATTGGCCGTGGATACATGTGATGCGACCATACCATATCAGTGATCGATGATGCGACACATTTATCAGGCACATTATTTCTACAAGATGTCAATGTGACTTTATAAAAGCAAAACACAAAGGTACCAAGTCATTGTTGGTGCATGCGTCGTGACCCTTTTTGTTCATTTGTTTTTATATTTTGATTATTGCTAACATAAAACCAAGAATTAATACATATATATATATATACACACGTGTATCCCTGAATATTTCTTCAACTTGAATCTTCATGACAGGCATGATGAGTTTACAGTAAAGTAAATTAGGTGAGTTCTACTTCTTTGTGATTCATGAATTAGCAGCTCAAACAATAAAGAGGACGACCTAACTTGAATTAGAAAACAAGATATCTCAATAATAATGTTCTAGAGAGATTGCCTTATTTTGAAGTTTGCCCCACCCCTCGTCACCCTTTGCTACTAAAGGAACTAATTGTATATTAATATTAATCCATCTCACCATCCATGTCATCTCTTGTTAATTTCTCAATTATCACCTGTATTTTTTATTTTATTTTTCACATGCAAACTGTGGCAGTGTGACCATCACACTAAAAATTTATCGTTTCATGGGGGTTTCAAGCATTGGTCGAGAAGTCTATATTTTGAAAAGGAGACTAAAAGTCTTAGTCGTGTTTAACAAAAATTCCAAATTTCCCAAAATTACACCTTCTACTTGGGGAAAATTTAATGCGTGCACCGATGACTAGATATATATATTTAATCTTTTTCTCTACATATATGAATGTTGTAAATATAAGTATATAGACATATGTGTGCATGTTATGAGTGGAAAGTTATGTATAATCGGTGAATACAAATATTGTTTTTTCCAGGGAACTTGTAAAACAACAACCTAATTATTTCTTTAATTAGAGCTCTATAGCTGTCCAAGCAAGTTGTAGGTGAAAACTCTTCACTCACTCGTTTTTATGAACAGAAGCTTGTTAGGTGAAACTACACAAATAAGAAACGCGGCTGCATAACCTAAACAGCTCAAAATCCTACTCTATAAAGGACAGACTAGACAGTGATATTACTGTTGGACCTCATGCTGGCTCACAGCATATAATTTATCCATATTAAATTGTGTAATTAATGATGAATCAATTAGGAAATAATGGCCAACAATAATTATTAGTGTTTTCCCAAGATGGTGATTGTGCTAAAGGAAAGTAGGTCACCAAGCCATCTAAATGTGTGCCCTTGGGTATCAAACTCTTTAGTAAGCTAGTGTAAGAAAACTTGAATATTGAGACATTTACAATGACATATAACTCATCTGCAACAAAATTACATAATCATAACGAGGCCAATCACGAACAAATATCGAATTTATACAAATATCTAAAACATAACTTAATCAAGTGAAAGACAATTACCACGAAACCAAAGACCTAGAGTTCCATCGCGAATACAAGTTGATTCATCATTTTTGTAAAAGGCAAACTCATCAGCTTGTCATACAAAGAATTTTTCTTGCTGTGCGCCAAACTCATGCTTTCCAAAATAGCCAAATACAACATATCAAGCATATGAAATCGAATATATATGAAATCGAATATACCCACACACATAGCTGAAATGAATTCATGGGCTACCGAGAAAACAGCTTCAGTTGGCATCCAAATACGAAACATTCCGAACATTACGAGATTTGAATCCAAGTACGGTAACCAAATCACATTTCACACGTCATATATACTTACTATATATTTGTATTTCTCGATCCATCTTTTAATTTCCAAGATTTATCTCCAAAACAAATCAATCAACCATTAATGATTTACTATTTTTCCGAATATTAAAAATAAAAATAAAATTTTAGTAGGACCTGGTCAATAAAAGAAAAAATAAAAAGAAAAAGACATTTTTTCTAGATGATGATGACTAGAACGTAAGAAACGTCAAAGGGAGGTCCAAAAGTTCAAAACCCACCAAACCAATCTTCAAAATACCCGTCATATCCTTCTCCCTCGTCTCTTCTTTATTTGGCAAAATCTCTCGTCAGAGTTCCCAACTTTCCCACCACCGAACCGACCGACCTGTATAATTAAACCCCTCCCTCCACCTCCTTCTACCCTGAGGAAATAAAAACCAATCTTTTTCTTTTTCGAAACCCCTTGATTTTCTCACCGGCCAAACACCCCGGGAAAACAGAAAACCACCAAAACAAACTCCCCTGCATAGCCTTTACATATTCCCCATTTCCACCCCAAAATACAAACCCTAACCCTAATTTTCCCACCCCCTGCAAAGAAAAAGAGGAAATTAGGGTTTTTTTGGCGAATTGGGCAATGTCACAGCTGAACTCACACCTTGATAACATACCCTCCACTCCCGGAAAGTTCAAGCTTGAAAAATCCCAGCCCTACATTCACCGCCTCAGGTTTCACACCTCGCTCTCCAAGCTCACTCTTTGGTCCTCGTTCTTTCTCGTTTTTATTCTCTTCTACTACGTCCTCTCGTCGCCTTCGCCTTCTCTGCCTTCTCGCCGATCCCTAAACGACTCTTGGGGCGGCCCGAGTTGGGAAAAACGGGTCACCCGCTCGGCCCAGAGGCGATCGAGCCATGGACTCACCGTCCTTGTTACCGGCGCTGCAGGCTTTGTCGGGACCCACGTTTCGATCGCTCTGAAGAGCCGAGGCGACGGGGTTTTGGGTCTTGATAACTTCAACCACTACTACGAGCCTCGGCTCAAGCGCGACCGCCAGAAGCTTCTAGAACGCAATGGAGTATTTGTCGTTGAAGGGGATATCAACGACTCCTCGTTGCTCAAGAAGCTCTTCGATGTTGTGGCTTTTAGTCACATAATGCACCTTGCTGCACAAGCCGGGGTTCGATACGCAATGCAGAATCCAGGGTCTTATGTTCACAGCAACATTGCTGGGTTTGTGAACATTTTGGAAGTCTGTAAATCAGTGAATCCACAACCGGCGATTGTCTGGGCTTCTTCTAGTTCGGTTTATGGGCTCAATTCCAAGGTACCCTTTTCGGAGAAGGATCGAACTGACCAGCCAGCCAGTCTCTATGCGGCTACAAAGAAGGCTGGAGAGGAGATTGCACATACTTATAACCATATTTATGGGCTTTCGATTACTGGGTTGCGGTTTTTCACAGTTTATGGACCTTGGGGAAGACCTGACATGGCTTACTTCTTTTTCACTAAGGATATTTTGAAAGGGAAGCCAATTACCATCTTTGAAGCGCCTGATCGTGGTTCTGTGGCCAGAGATTTTACCTACATTGACGATGTTGTAAAGGGCTGCGTGGCGGCATTGGACACAGCGAAGAAGAGTACAGGGAGTGGTGGGAAGAAGAAGGGTCCGGCTCAATTGAGGATATTCAATTTGGGGAACACGTCGCCGGTGCCAGTGAGTGAGCTGGTGAACATTTTAGAGAAGCTTTTGAAGGTCAAGGCTAAGAGGAAGGTATTGCCAATGCCGCGAAATGGGGATGTCAAGTTTACACATGCCAATATAAGCTTAGCACACAAGGAGCTCAGGTACAAACCAGGGACTGATTTGGAGACAGGGCTGAAGAAGTTTGTGCGGTGGTACCTGAGTTATTATCCCGGGTCTGGAAAGAAAAGTTCCTGGTGAATTTTCTTCTTCATATTGTGCTTTTAAGTCACTGTAATTGTTCTTAGCATTCATTTACATGTCTCCACCCGTTTTGCAATCTTGGCACCATCGCTCGTGATACTGTTATAAGAAGATGGATGTTATTCGTTGATGGTTTCGTTTGTTAGTTGAGGGCTTTCCATTGCAGGGTATACCTGAGTTGTACCAAGAAAAAAAACTGGAGGCACCTCAATTGTTTTTCCACATGTTGGTTCATTTGTTTCTTTAGGTTGTTCATTTTTAGTTTTCGCTGTACAGCCCTTGACTCATAGATCAAAGCAATTTGCTGATTGGTGGACTTTATTTTTGTCTTTTAATGATTTCAATAAATAAAAACATTCATGCATTGGGCTTTTGAATTATATTTATTAGTTGTTTGACATTTCAGTTTCACCTCCAGTTTTTTTTATTCAGAATGGTTTCTGGCCCTGATTTGGAAATATTTGATACCAAGTGTTTCTCTTGTATTCTTGCTCCTAATGTTGAGTGATATTATTTTGTGCCTGCTTACTAAATGGAACTACTGTAATTGGATGTGGTATAGTTTCACATTGATGTTGTTGGATTTACTTTCACACTGGTATGGATGATAATGCATTTGACTCTCCTGCTATACTAGAGCTCATGCAATTGTGGCATTGTGTCCTTTGGCATAGGGGTCATTGATGTGTATTGTCATTGCTAGTGTATAGAAAAATGGTCATGAGGTTCTCTCTTGCACAGCCTCGCAGCTCATACTCAGCTACTTCATTGCTGTTTTGTTCTTGTGCCTGCTTAGCAATTTATATGCAGTTTGCTTGTTCTTCACTCTTGTAGAAAGGATTTCGTTGTGTCCTTGGATTTCTTTCTCTTCCTTTACAGTTATGTAGGTTATATTCTCTGTCGTGCCAGTTTTTAAATTTAAACCCATCAATCCTGCTACTTTGTTACAGGAACTAATGAGTAGTGATAAAGTAGAGGAGTTTACTGCTCAACAAAAACAAAAACATACATTAAAATTTATTAGAAGTACATTGCAAAAGAATTGTCTTGGGAAGTTGAGAAAGTATTGTTTCAGAGGTTAGGCAACGCTCTGATGCATTTTCAACCAGAGGACGGCGTCTTAACAAATATTTGGTTGGAATTCTCAATCTACAGATTTCTTGTTTCCCCTGTGTTTTTTGTCAAACCAAGTTTTTTGGTCATCTACAATATTTGGGAAGGAGGGATTTGAACCAGGGACAATCTATTTGGAGGAAAGGTGTGACAACCAATTGCACAAATGCTTGTGGTCGCCATTTCCTTAACCAAGTTTATTAATTTGAAGTTGCATGCTGGGTGGATGGCTTTGAGGATTGGGATATATTCCTTGGATTTCTTTCTATTCCTTGACAGTTATGTAGGAATATTGATCTATTGTGCAGCCTCCTTGTGTATTTCTAGATGGGTAGAATTCCGTTAGATTTATTAGAAAGTAATTGACGCTCACTGAAAGCTGTTTATGAATGATAATTGGATGGACAATTCAAAGCCTATCTAGGCACCGAATAACATATAGGAGGAGGTCCTAGTTCGAAACAAAAGGTAAAATTTCCTCAAAATCATGAAAGAATGCGGTGTTTGTCGGTTGTGTAAGTTGGCTTGGGAGTGGGAGAGGGAGAGGGGGAGGGTTTTGCAGGTCATGGATCCTTGGTCAAGTACCCGGATCTTGAAATGTTTTTGCTATCTTTTTAAACTTGAAAACATTTGGACATATATTATTCTTTTTTCATAAATTGCTGAGCACATTGCTCAAGTATGTTCCATCTATGATACTCACTTTTTCTTGGACGGATAGCACACTAGTTTTCCCCTTTCTTAGCTCTTACATTCTGTACAAACAATAGTATTGGCAGATGACTCCCTCAAGTTTGAAATTTGTCTGGATTGTCTTTCAATTTTATATGCTTACAAGTGACACTCATGTATGTACCTGATACCTTATTATGAGTGAAAATTGCAGCGTTCAAGTGCTTTCCGTTTTTTCAGACCATAAAAAGAAGTGCATTTACGTTTTCGCCCTGTTGTTCAGGGTTTTAGGTTGGTGTGCTAGGGCTTGTTAGAAGTTGCTGATCATAAGTTAGCTTTGAAGAACATAACTTCCTTTCCATTTTCTCACCCTGGTGAGGAGGGAACATAACGTCTTTTTCATTTTCTCTTTTGGCTTGCTACTGCTATCACTTTGGCTTGAGAGAAACAGGTCCTGAAGATCAACATGGGTTTTGAGTATATCTCGTTGGCTACTAATCTGACATTAAACAATTTAAACTGAAAAGTTTCAGAAGTATTGAACCCAAACCCAAATGGCATTCTACTCTCCAATCTCTATTCTTTTTCTCCATTACCAACTTAAAGTTGAACCCAAATGGAATTCTAATCTCTATGTCGATATCATTTAATTTTCCAAGAGGGGACAGGATATTATCGAAACAAGCTACTGCCCCAGCAAGGGGGGGAAATATACAAAACAATCAGCAGAATACAGGATACAGGGCTTCTCTCTCTCTCTCTCTCTCTCTCTCTCTCTCTCATCAAATGCTCCTCCCTTTTTAAACACTTTTCACTCAATCACCAAAAGATCAACATTTAGTGGAATCAGCATCAGAGTCAAGCTCCCACCATCTGCCACTAACATCCTTCCTTAAATTGTCATTCACTCCATCACAATACCTTCAATTTCCTCATCCTCGCTTTCACCACCAACCTCATCATCCCAGCCATTCACACTTTGCACCTCATCTGGCTTGTATGTCCACTCCAATCTCTTCAACACATCACGGTCTTTCCATTTCCCCACAACTGACACCGCCTCCTTCTTCGCCTTCCCGATTAGATTTCATTCCAAGAAAAACCCCGAATCCGCAGCCCTCTTCAGAGCCCCGTCACCAAAATCCCCCACAACCACCGTCTTGAGACATCTCAGCTTGGCCTCCATCACAACATCCACAAAATCCGAATCATCCGACACAAGCATCAAACACTCAGCTCTCTTGTGATCCATCATATCCACAATGTGATTCCTCAATGCAGCATCCACCCTCTGAGGGTTATCCACCATGCTCCGAACCCAAAACCCTGCCCTCTTCACCTCGTCCGCCAAACCCCGCCCCGCCTTGGGTGTCAAGATATCCCTTGCACCATTCTTATACTTCTCCATCTTCATTGAATACTTCCCCACCAGCTTCACCCTCCTGCTCCCTCTAGCAGACTCAATCTGGTTCAACCTCTTCGCATGCTCCCTCTCATGAATCTTGAAATGATTCAAAAGCTTCTCATTAGTATAAAATCTCCTCCCGCAAACCCTACAGACGTTCAATTCACCATCCCTAATCACAACCCTGTTCCTCTCTTTCCTTTCTCTGACAACCTGTGGAACATAATTAAGCGCATGCCTGTTCGCATATGCTATCATATGGCGAACAAGCCCGAAAGACGAAGCCGCCGTCTTGAGCTTGACGGCGGCTTCGTAGGGCGACACTGATTTGGGTGGTTTGGTATCCCAAATCCCAGAAAATCGCAACACTGTTTTCTACAATTTTTGGGGTGCCAAACACAATGATGGGCTCGAAGAATTAAAACCCAGCTTCGATTGAAAATGGCAATATCTAATCAATAGGGTAAGTAGGTTTAGGGTTTCTAACCTTTTGGATTGAACTGTACAGAAAATTGGGGGAAATTTGAGATGTTTAAGCATTGCCAGTGGTTTCAAATATGGAGGGCTGCAAATTTGCAAGACAACAAGGCTTGACCACTGTGATCGTCGAGTCAGATTCAAGAGAGGCGGTTTCTAGCCTCAACGGTTTGATTGCAAGAGGGCGCTGCTGGCAACGGTTCGATTGGCAAGAGGTCGCCGAGTTCGGCTCGTATGAAAATCGCTGGGTTTTTAGCGGGTTTTTCCTTTCTATCGGTAAACATGATTTTTTAAAACCCCATTCTACAAAATTTACATTTTAAGACTCAAATATAATAAAATTTATATTCCCTTCTATCTGTTCCTCTCTAAACCCAAAAAATAATAATAATAATAATATAATAAAATAAAATAAAATAGAAAATGTTGTTTAGAATTAATTTTTCTTTAAGCAAAGATGAGTTTTTTTTTTCTCTTCTAAATACAGAAAAGCGACTAGGCAGACATTCCATGTGTGTAAAGGAAGGAATTGTACTGCTTGAACTGGAAAGTTTTATTATTCTATATCAAGAAATTTATTTTTTTTTTTATTTAAAAAGCTTTAACTAAATTGATCCCTAGTTTTGGTTGACAATCTTCATGAATTAATTTACAGATTATAGATTTGTTTTTCGCCAAAGTTAGGACGGGAATGTATTGTCCTCATTGGTTGTGTTTTATTGTTAGGTATGTTGATCTATTGTTTGCAATAAATTTTTTTAAATGTGTTTTCATCTTATATTTTCTGCTTTTCTTAAATGATTGTTTTTTTTCCGTAAGAAAAAAATACAAAACAAGAGAATCAGGAGCTTGTTACCAGTGATTATTCTTTACCTATGAACTCGAGATTTTAGATTCAATTTATCCCTCCTTCAATATCTCTTGTATAAATAAAATTAAAAAAATAGGACACAAGCAAAATAAAATTTAAAAATAAATGAGATTAAGAAAACAACAAGAATTCATTTAAAAACCAAGAACCCAAAAAAAAGAAAAAACCAACCACAACCACCCAATCATGCCTAATGCTCTTAAATGACCTTGACGAGCAGTTGAAGATGATCAACCATTGACTGTCATAAAGGGGCCCATCCACGTGGCTCTCCATCTCATCTCCTACTGGTCAATCCCAAAATTAAATTTCGAAGAAATTCGAAAGAACAACCAGGACAAACAACCACACCAAATACACAGAAAAATAATAATAAAAGGAATAATTATAGAAAAATAGACAGAGATCAATCCATAAGATCAAATCGAATAATGGGTATGTGATATGGGAGGGTTTGAGCACAGAAACTAGCAATGAAAGGCGTCTACTCGGCGCCCGGAGATTACATCTACTTCAAGTCCCAGGTCCCTCTTCACAAGATCCCAGTACGTTCTGTTTTACCTCTACTTCTCATTACCCTTTTGATTTTTTTTCCCTTTTCTTATGATTGTGTGCTTGAGTTTGATTCATTTGGTTCATTTTACAGCTGGGTTTTTAATTGTTCTGGGTTTAGTGTCACTTTTTTAAAATCAATATAAAATAGTTGCTTTTTTGTGCGTGTTTGAAATTGTCAGCACTATAAGACATGGGTTTTGTAAAGTTTGTGAATTTTGATGTGTGTGTTATTATTTTTCTCAATTGTGGGTTTTTGCAAGCGGAGCTTCTTGTGTATGTACCCCCTTCTTTTTTCAACTATGAAGCTTTGTGCTTAATCAACTGTAGGGGTGCTGATAGTAGTTGTCTGTCTGTTTCTTATTACTTAAATGAATGGAGTTTATATTGAAGTAATTTTGTATGCAGATTGGCACAAAACAGTGGCGATACTATGATTTTGGCCCAAAAGCCAGTACCTCCACTTATTTGTCTTCCCGGAACAGCAGGGACAGCTGATGTCTGCTACAAGCAGATCATGTCGTTGTCCATGAAGGTAGTTGGTTGGCTTTATGTTTTCTTCATTGTATCTATCACAAAAGTCTTGGGAAAAGCATGAAATACTTTGATCTTGATTTTCTTTTCCTTGATACGCACCTAGATTTTAGTTTGAAGTTTTCATGGTCCATAGGACTTACATTTTGGCTGTTTAGTTGTTTTCTTTTTTCCTGGAATGATTAACTTTCATGTAGTGGCGATGTTTTGGGGTGAAAATTTTGATTCTGTGCATATATTATATGAGAAATATTTTTATTCCCAGGATTGTGTTCCCCAAATCAGTAAGAAGAGTAAGAAGAAACAAGCTCAAAACTGTTGGGCCTTGATTGTCTCAGCTGAGATTAACCACTATCAGATTATCCACGTTGAACGTTGAATATACCAGTTAACTGTCCCTGTACTGATATATAACTTCTTATCGTGGGAAGAAGGGAGCTCCTATACGTAGTTCATCTTACGTATGGGAATCTATGAGGAATACGTTTGACCTCTCCCTACCATATGTACAATTCAGTTTTTGGTTATAATTTCCAGTTTTTCCTTCTATGTGGATGAGTTACTTCTTTCGCTCGATCAGACTTTATGTTTTGGTGTCTGTTGAATATGTTTGATCTCATATACTTGAAAATTTTCTTGTCTAGCGCTGATTTCCTTTTGTTTCCTTTAAGTGGTAAGTCAGTTTTTTCACGGGACATTTAAGCCCTAACTTTTATTGTTTGCTTTACAGTTGTACCTGGTAACTCTTCTCAAGTTCTACTTAATGAATCATACATTATATAATACATTTATAAAATTTGCAGGGTTATCGGGTGATTTCTGTTGATATCCACGTGTATGGAATCAATCATGATGTATCCAAGATTTGAGAAATTCGTGGATGCTATTGATGTTCATCATGTAAGCACTCCATTTTCTGACAGTGTACTTTACTCATGCCAATATCATTCTAATTGGTCAGTATCTCTATTTGTTTGCACTAAAGGAATTGCTAATTTTCTTAACGCCCAACATAGCTTCATTCTAAATTGTAAATTTCTTTAGGAGCCACCCAAGTGCTCATATAGCTTTCACGTATTGATTAATGACACTTTAAATCTTACTTAATTATACTTTATGATATTTGGTTCAGAAAGATGCCCCAAAAAAAAAAAAAAAAAAAAAAAAAAAAAAAAAAAAAAAAAAAAAAAAAAAAAAAAAAAAAAAAAAAAAAAAAAAAAAAAAAAAAAAAAAAAAAAAAAAAAAAAAAAAAAAAAAAAAAAAAAAAAAAAAAAAAAAAAAAAAAAAAAAAAAAAAAAAAAAAAAAAAAAAAAAAAAAAAAAAAAAAAAAAAAAAAAAAAAAAAAAAAAAAAAAAAAAAAAAAAAAAAAAAAAAAAAAAAAAAAAAAAAAAAAAAAAAAAAAAAAAAAAAAAAAAAAAAAAAAAAAAAAAAAAAAAAAAAAAAAAAAAAAAAAAAAAAAAAAAAAAAAAAAAAAAAAAAAAAAAAAAAAAAAAAAAAAAAAAAAAAAAAAAAAAAAAAAAAAAAAAAAAAAGCATCCCCCCTCTGAGGGTTTCCACCATGCTCCGAACCCAAAACCCTGCCCTCTTCACCTCGTCCGCCAAACCCCGCCCCGCCTTGGGTGTCAAGATATCCCTTGCACCATTCTATACTTCTCCATCTTCATTGAATACTTCCCCCACCAGCTTCACCCTCCTGCTCCCTCTAGCAGACTCAATCTGGTTCAACCTCTTCGCATGCTCCCTCTCATGAATCTTGAAATGATTCAAAAGCTTCTCATTAGTATAAAATCTCCTCCCGCAAACCCTACAGACGTTCAATTCACCATCCCTAATCACAACCCTGTTCCTCTCTTTCCTTTCTCTGACAACCTGTGGAACATAATTAAGCGCATGCCTGTTCGCATATGCTATCATATGGCGAACAAGCCCGAAAGACGAAGCCGCCGTCTTGAGCTTGACGGCGGCTTCGTAGGGCGACACTGATTTGGGTGGTTTTGGTATCCAAATCCCAGAAAATCGCAACACTGTTTTCTACAATTTTTTGGGGTGCCAAACACAATGATGGGCTCGAAGAATTAAAACCCAGCTTCGATTGAAAATGGCAATATCTAATCAATAGGGTAAGTAGGTTTAGGGTTTCTAACCTTTTGGATTGACTGTACAAAAATTGGGGGAATTTGAGATGTTTAAGCATTGCCAGTGGTTTCAAATATTGGAGGGCTGCAATTTGCAAGACAACAAGGCTTGACCACTGTGATCGTCGATCAGATTCAAGAGAGCGGTTTCTAGCCTCAACGGTTTGATTTGCAAGAGGGCGCTGCTGGCAACGGTTCGATTGCAAGAGGTCGCCGAGTTCGGCTCGTATGAAAATCGCTGGGTTTTTAGCGGGTTTTTCCTTTCTATCGGTAAACATGATTTTTAAAACCCCATTCTACAAATTTACATTTTAAGACTCAATTAATAAAATTTTATATTCCCTTCTATCTGTTCCTCCTAAACCCAAAAAATAATAATAATAATAATAAAATAAAATAAATATAGGAAAATGTTGTTTAGATTTAATTTTCTTTAAGCAAAAGATGAGTTTTTTTTTTTTTTCTTCTTAAAATACAGAAAAAGCGACTAGGCAGACATTCCATGTGTGTAAGGAAGGAATTGTAACTGCTTTGAACTGGAAAGTTTTATTATTCTATATAAAATAGAATTTTTTTTTTTTTTTTAAAAAAGCTTTAAACTAAATTGATCCCTAGTTTTGGTTGACAATCTTCATGAATTAATTTACAGATTATAGATTTGTTTTTCGCCAAAGTTAGGACGGGAATGTATTGTCCTCATTGGTTGTGTTTTATTGTTAGTATGTTGATCTATTGTTTGCAATAAATTTTTTTAAATGTGTTTTTCATCTTATATTTTCTGCTTTTCTTAAATGAATTGTTTTTTTCCGTAAGAAAAAAATACAAACAAGAGAATCAGGAGCTTGTTACCAAGTGATTATTCTTTACCTATGAACTCGAGATTTTAGATTCAATTTATCCCTCCTTCAATATCTCTTGTATAAAATAAAATTAAAAAATAGGACACAAGCAAAATAAAATTTAAAATAAATGAGATTAAGAAAACAACAAGAATTCATTTAAAAACCAAGAACCAAAAAAGAAAAAACCAACCACAACCACCAATCATGCCTAATGCTCTTAAATGACCTTGACGAGCAGTTTGAAGATGATCAACCATTGACTGTCATAAAGGGGCCCATCCACGTGGCTCTCCATCTCATCTCCTACTGGTCAATCCCAAAATTAAATTTCGAAGAAAATTCGAAAGAACAACCCAGGACAAACAACCACACCAAATACCACGGAAAAAATAATAATAAAAGGAATAATTATAGAAAAATAGACAGAGATCAATCCATAAGATCAAATCGAATAATGGGTATGTGATATGGGAGGGTTTGAGCACAGAAACTAGCAATGAAAGGCGTCTACTCGGCGCCCGGAGATTACATCTACTTCAAGTCCCAGGTCCCTCTTCACAAGATCCCAGTACGTTCTGTTTACCTCTACTTCTCATTACCCTTTTGATTTTTTTTTCCCTTTTCTTATGATTGTGTGCTTGAGTTTGATTCATTTGGTTCATTTTACAGCTGGTTTTTTAATTGTTCTGGGTTTAGTGTCACTTTTTTTAAAATCAATTATAAAATAGTTGCTTATTTTGTGCGTAGTTTTGAAATTGTCAGCACTATAAGACATGGGTTTTGTAAAGTTTGTGAATTTTGATGTGTGTGTTATTATTTTTCTCAATTGTGGGTTTTGCAAGCGGAGCTTCTTGTGTATGTACCCCTTTCTTTTTTCAACTATGAAGCTTTGTGCTTAATCAACTGTAGGGGTGCTGATAAGTAGTTGTCTGTCTGTTTCTTATTACTTAAATGAATGGAGTTTATATTGAAGTAATTTGTATGCAGATTGGCACAAAACAGTGGCGATACTATGATTTTGGCCCAAAAGCAGTACCTCCACTTATTTGTCTTCCCGGAACAGCAGGGACAGCTGATGTCTGCTACAAGCAGATCATGTCGTTGTCCATGAAGGTAGTTGGTTGGCTTTTTATGTTTTCTTCATTGTATCTATCACAAAGTCTTGGAAAAGCATGAAATACTTTGATCTTGATTTTCTTTTCCTTGATACGCACATAGATTTTAGTTTGAAGTTTTCATGGTCCATAGGACTTACATTTTGGCTGTTAGTTGTTTTCTTTTTCCTGGAATGATTAACTTTCATGTAGTGGCGATGTTTTGGGGTGAAAATTTTGATTCTGTGCATATATTATATGAGAAATATTTTTATTCCCAGGATTGTGCTTCCCAAATCAGTAAGAAGAGTAAGAAGAAACAAGCTCACATATAGGTAAAACTGTTGGGCCTTGATTGTCTCAGCTGAGATTAACCACTATCAGATTATCACAGTTGGGACGTTGAATATACCAGTTAACTGTCCCTGTACTGATATATAACTTCTTATTCGTGGAAGAAGGGAGCTCCTATACGTAGTTCATCTTACGTATGGGAATCTATGAGGATACGTTTGACCTCTCCTACCATATGTACGAAATTCAGTTTTTTGGGTTACTAATTTCCATTTTTTTCCTTCTGCATGTGGATGAGTTACTTCTTTCAGCTAGACTTCAGACTTTATGTTTTGGTGTCTGTTGAATATGTTTGATCTCATATACTTGAAAATTTTCTTGTCTAGCTGCTGATTTCCTTTTGTTTCCTTTAAGTGGATAATCAGTTGTTCAACGGGACATTTAAGCCCTAACTTTTATTGTGTTGCCTTTACAGTTGTACCTGGTAACTCTTCTCAAGTTCTACTTAATGAATTCATACATTATATTAATAAATTTATAAAATTTGCAGGGTTATCGGGTGATTTCTGTTGATATTCCACGTGTATGGAATCATCATGAGTGGATCCAAGCATTTGAGAAATTCTTGGATGCTATTGATGTTCATCATGTAAGCACTCCATTTTCTGACAGTGTACTTTACTCATGCCATTATCATTCTAATTGGTCAGTATCTCTATTTGGTTGCACTAAAGGAATTGCTAATTTTCTTAAAGCACAAATAGCTTTTACATTCTAAATTGTAAATTTCTTTAGGAGCCACCCAAGTGCTACATATAGCTTTCAGTATGTGATTAATGACACTTTATCTGTACTAATTATACTTTATGATATTTGAGTTCAAGAAAGATGCACCTTCTAGTTATACTGTTAGCATTTGTTCGGTTAAGGTCCGACGCTTCACGAATCAACACTTTCCAGTGATGTTGAGACTATCAGGCTACAGCTTATTTGCAAGATGGAAAATATAACATTCTGATTGCATTTTGCCCCATGCCCTCCTCTCACAGATGAACTATTAAGTAGTTCTCTGATTTCTAGCTTGTGGGTAGTTGGGTAGGATATCATTCCAGGTCTACATTAAAGATTTTCTCGGTGTCTAGGCCGCCATATAAGATACAGATAACATTGTTGTTTTAGTAAATTTCTTACACTGCAATAATTTATACCGAATTATACATCAAGATCAATAAATTGCTTGTAGAGACAGTACATTGATGTAAATAACTGATCCTCAAAGAAAAGCACTGTTCTGGCACCGTTATATTTTTTTATTTTTATTTTTAGATTAGATCATTGAATAATAGCTGATTTTCTGTAAATGGAATGCATATCCAAATGGATGAAATGTGATCAGAGATTATTGTGGGGAAAGATGAAACATGCTGTCCATGACAATTTAGATCAGTTACTTGAAGAATGTGCTTTGTAACAGTGAATATAGATGCTTATTATATAACTTGAACAAAGTGTGAGATTGTCTAATCCATGTTAACACATCTTCTCATATTTGTGGTGGCACTAGTTAATTATAACTTAGTACTTTTTTCAGTGATCTGATCAATCTCTTTCTAACAGATACATATTTATGGTACATCCCTTGGGGGCTTCTTGGCTCAACTTTTTGCTCAGCATCGTCCAAGACGAGTTCGATCATTGATACTATCAAACACATTTTTGGACACGCGCAGTTTCTCTGCAGCAATGCCCTGGGCTCCCATGTATGTTTGTCATATTTGTACTTAAGCACTAATCAGTATAAATGGAGATAATCAGATATTTAGTACTTTGGTGGGGTCCCATTACTTGGAGCATTGATAAAACTACAAACATGCTGTTATTTTTTGTGAAAAATCCAAAAATAGATTAGATGGTAATTCTGTTAAGTTGTCTCACAACAGGTTGGTGGTTAAGCTAGTTCTGCATTGTATTGCACAGTTTGCTTCTTTATAAGTTCTTAGACCTTGCATTGACCTGGAAAGGTTGTAATGGTCTTTGCTACTGCTTGATGTTTCTTGATTGGCTTTTTAGAGTTCATTTCTCTCTCTCATTTTTCTTTTTTCTTTTTTTTTCTTTTTCTGGTTGTTGTTGTTGAAATAGTTATAAGGAACTTCAAAAAAACAAATGATGTTATGGTTGGTGGAATTAAGAATGACTTTTCTATCTGAGGAAGAGTGAATAGAAGAACTTTTCATGATAGCATCTTCTCTAGATTCGTTAATTATATAATTTGACACCAATTAGATTCATGTCTTACCTTATAAATGTGCTGCTGATAACAATAAGGTGCACTCAGGCTCACCAATTATGAAATCCCACATGATATTTAGCCTAAACTTCTTCCTTCCATCGACTGGTTTGCATTCCAATTAGAAAGAGGATCAACTTAAGGGATCATGTTTGTTGGAACTATTTATCCACCCTTCCTCATGGCTATTTTTGTTCGATGTTAAAATTAAATTATTTACCAAAAGGTTCTGCAGTGACTTCACTTTTTAAATAAATGTACAGGTGTGTGCGGGTTGAAACTGTTGGTTGGATGTGATATAATGCTCCTTGGGATTTTGCATTCTCTTTTTTTGGTTACAAGTTGTGTACTAGACTTATATAGTTTTTGGCTCAGAGTTCTTGAATTCGCTTCCAGTTTTCTTTTGTTTCTACCGAACAACTTGCCTGATTATGGTACTGTCTTATGCAGAGTTAGTTGGACCCCTTCTTTTTTGCTGAAAAGATATGTCTTGACTGGAATTCGTGATGGCCCCCATGAGCCATTTATTGCTGATTCGGTGGACTTCGTTGTTTCTCAGGTAGAGCCTGTGAAAGCCTTTACCATCTGCTCATTATGGCTGTCCTTATCCAAAATGAACAAAAGAATTTTTATAGAACCTGGATAGCAGTGCAAGCTGTTCTAATTTCTTACTCTAAACTGTGGTAAATCAGGTTGAAACGCTCTCAAGAGAAGACCTGGCCTCCAGGTTAACTTTAACAGCTGATGCTGCCTCAGTTGGACCTCTGTTGCTTACAGACTCATTCATTACTATAATGGATGTATGTATTCTGGATTTAATTTGGTCTATTTTGATGCATATGAATACACCAATCAAGTGTTTATCAAGTTTGATATACTAATAATGCCTCTAGAAACAAGTGTTTATTTAGGTATTGCATCCCTTGGATCTAACTTTATTCTAATTTCTTGTTCTCTTTTAGCAACTTTTTCCAAAATTTTCGCCACTTTACTAAAAAATATTTCATTTTCTATATCTTTTTGGATGATCGTGCCAGTTTTATGCCAAATTCTGGGAGCAGCTTTACAAAGTCACCAGGAAGTTTTCAGAGTTCGGCTCCGTTTTTAAGTGTTGATAACTTTTTTATGTGCAAGTTCTTAGTAAGGTTGTCACACTTCATTCATATCTCACATACAGCGAATAAGTGGCTAACATGGCAAATCACTTGATAAATGTTGCTAGCATCTTCCCAACAATCTTTCTAGGTTTGGAATTATTTGACTTCTTCATCCTAAATTGATGGCTTTAGTTTTGCATGTCTGTTCATATGTCTGAATCCCTTCTGGACCTTTCTTGCAATACGAGTATTTCCATTACAAGACTCTTATCATTTAGCTAAGCTTAATAGGGAAGTTTAAAAGTCTAAGCTGACTGGTCAAAAAATTTCTTCTCAACACATATACATGAAGACAAATGACTACAGTGCGATTCCTCAACAACTCAAAGATGAAGTGAGTGAGAGGTACCCTGGCGCAAGGCGAGCACAATTGAAGACTGGGGGAGATTTTCCATTCCTTTCACGGCCAGATGAAGTAAACTTACATCTTCAGGTAAATGGTATTTCTATTTTGCTTCTACGAATCTTTTGTTTGTAATATTTGGTTTACTTGTAGTAGATTTATGTATGATTAAAAGACCTTTATTCCAACTGGTGTTTGCAATATTTGGTTTACTTCTTGTAGTAGATTTATGTATGATTAAAAGACCTTTATTCCAACTGGTGTTTGCAATGTGGTCAGCTACATCTAAGACGGGTTGGTGTGGAGGCTCGACCTGATTTGGTTCCAGGCATTCCAAAGGGGGGTAGTGGTGGGAGTTCTAGTGAAGAGAACGAGAAAAAAGATCCAGAAGATCCAGCCAAGGATGAAGATCCAGCCAACGATGATAGGGGAAGCTCAGACAATCCTTTGGCAGAAAGTCAGCTACCTCATGCTCCAGAAAGTTCACAATCTCATAGCTTAGATGACCAGCTTGTCAGCAATGCAATAGTTTGCCACTTCAGTAATGTAGACATGATGGTTTCTTTGCATTTGGGATTCTTGAAGAATCAGCATACTATACCCACTGAAACTGTTATGCGACTTTGTGCGGAAATATTTGCTCTTCATTTGCTTTCTTTTTATGTGGGATCACTGTACATTAGTTTGAACTGTAATCGGAGGGTCGGACAAGTCGTGTAAAGTGTCTTGACATTGTTGTTTCTTGCTTGTGTAATTGTTCAAAATTGAGTGCGAGTCTCACAGATGTTTCAGCACTTCTTTCTCATCTTGCACCCTCGCCATTTTCAGTAGTTTGATTATTTGCTTTTGGGGGAATCTCATCTTCACAGGCAAAGGTTGAGCTTATATATTCTGGAGAGATTTGTACGGATTGGAATCCTCTGAAGAGGAAAATCTTGAAAGTCTCGAATGTAGGAGGTATTGCAAAATGTTGTTGGGATTGAAAGTGTAGATCCATTGAAATGCTCTGTTTGCGCAATATTGTTCTATTTAGGAGTTGTAAGATCTCTCAGAAGTTACTCGCAAGAATATTAATTTTCTTGGTCCAATTGGTAGCGATTGGTCTATGCTCAAACATAACTCTAGCATATTAGTTTTCTCTTCTATTTCTTTTTCTAAGCAAACTTGTGAATTGGGTTATGACCGAGTCCAAATCAACTTAAAAGCCAAGCGCTTTTGTTGTTCAGATTCATAACCAGCCTTTGCAGGGTCTTAAAGCCTTGGAACCGCATTCAAAGCCATATAAGAAAGTTAGGCTTATATACAGTGATTTGTTGCAATTTTTGTTAGTGGCTTAAAGCCAGAGTGCTTTTAAGTATATAGAAAAGTTCAACGTTCCCAACGAGATCAAAGCTAAAGCAACCTACACCAACCAACATGAGGCTACTCTTTACAGACACATGACATCAATTTGCGATAACAAAAAACTGAGGGAAAAATGGTATTCCCTAATTATATGAGCTATTGAGCCGAATAACATCAAGCCACGAAAACATTGCCCCTAACTACGTCACAATATCCCGACATTCTATGCATGCATTTTTTTTTAAGATGAACACCCAATCATTTGATTTAATACCTCAAGTTTCAAATTGTGAATTGTTATTTGAAGGACCTTTTACATTTGTTTCCTGATTTCTAAGCTAACCATACCATTCTCCAGGTAAAAGACTCACCTGCATAATCCTTCACTCTTCCAGTGCATCAAATATTCACATGCATTACATTCAAGGCATAGAATGTAGTAAACTAACACAGAAATCACTGCACCAGTTTCATGTGCCACATTCAGGTTGGTCGAGTCGAGTCATTCGAAAACATTCAAAACCAAGGGAAGTTTCTTCTAAACCATTAGTTGGGCAAGTTTCATTTGATTGTATGATCCTAATTGATAACCTGGCAAGAGAATGATACCAATGCCATCTTCACAAGGACAAACCTTCTACCAAATTGATCATGAACTCTAGAATAACCAAAGAAAGAACATACCAAGTTTTATCTGGGCAGAATCAGTCCACACAAAAAAAACCCACTAAACCATAATGATGTTGTCTAATTCTGTCATCAAAATATCTAATAAGCAATAACAGTACACATGCATAAAATAAATCCAGAACTGAGAATCTGCAGCACTAATGACTGACGTAAAACTCCATGCATCTAAGTCCTGTTACCAGAAAATTGTTTGAATTTGAGACATAAAGTTTACAAATGATGAAGGGTTGCCTCAAATGTTTCTCACTTGTCATTTGTTAGGCTTGACATGCAAATGCAATCCAAAAATCAAGAGCAATTCCCAACAGAAAACAAAGATTGAGCACAAGAACCCACAAAATAATCTAGCAAATCCAGATTACATTCCATGAAACCATCAACACTTACATCCCAAACACCTTGAAATTTACCAGTACTGAGACAATTCAATTCATCACAAACAAAATCCAAAACAAACCAAACCCTAAAATCACCAAAAAAAAAAAAAAAAAAAAAAAAAAAAACATACATAGCTCCAAATTACTTCCACAAACCACTTAATCAGTCAAAACACACCGTTTCGCTTCTCACTTGGCCACCATTCTGGCAATGAAGTCCTCGTATTTGATCTTTCCATCGGACCCGACATCGACCTCCCGGATCCACTCGTCGAACTCGGATGGTTCCAATTTCTCGCCGATGCTGGTGAGGATATGCCGGAGCTCCGAGACCGAGACGAAGCCGGTGGAATCCTTGTCGAGGACCTTGAAGGCGTCGCGGAGCTGGCGATCGAAGGGCTCGGGCTTCATGTGCTTGCCCATGAGGTCGAGGAAGCGAGGGAAGTCGAAGGGGGCCGTGAGCTTCTCCTCGGCGACTATGGATTTGAGTTGGGCCTGGGTCGGGTTGCCTCCGAGCGATCGCATTAGGATCCCGAGTTCCGAAGGAGCGATCTTGCCGTCGTTGTCGGTGTCGAAGAGAGTGAACGCCTCCTTCATTGACGATACTTGGTCGTCGCTCAGATCCTTTCCCATTTTTTTCCGGGTTCGATTCGGGTTTTCGGGTCTCTCTCTGTGAAACTGGTTTGCTTCTCTTTGATTTGTCTCTCGGAGATGGAGAAATGGTGGAAGGGGCTTTCGGATTTTGAACAAAGGAGACGAAATAATTGGGAGAGCGCTACACGCGGCGTCGTTTTGTGATATTAGACCAACTGAGTAATAATGTCGTTTTGACCGTTCAGGTATTTTGCTCATCAAACAAAATTTTATTTTAAGATTTCATTTTTGTGGTACCATTCAAAACCAACTATTCGAATATTTAATTACTCAAATGATCCTCAAATTTATATTCGATTTATATTTTGGTCCTTCAATTAAATTATTCGTTCAAATTGTCCATCAATTCTATATTATTCGGTACATTGGTCTTACTGTTACTTTCTGTCAATGTTGCCGTTAAATATGAGGGCAAATCGGTCAATTTGTACATTAAAAATAAATAAATACTGAAAAATTAAATAAAAACTCCCTCTCTCTCTCTCTCTCTCTCTCTCTTCTCTCTCTCTCTCTCTCATGACCACCACCCTCAAGCTCCAACCCCAAAACCCATCTCACAACCACCCTCCACCCTAGGCCCCATGAACCCAGAATCCCAGCTTCTCCCCACCCAACACCCAAGCCAGAAACTACAAAAAAAGAGAAGAAAAAAAAATCTTCCACATACCCCCTCCCAAAGAACCCAAAACCCCAACTCAACAACCACCCAGACTCTCTCCCCTTCCCCCCTTGATTTCCCTTCGTTGTTGAGAGACAACACCCACCACCCTCCTCCCTACCTAACAACCACCTTTCATCCACCAAAAAAATATTCTCAAGACGCCCAAAAATCCTCACCCCGTTACTGTTTTAGTTTTTTTTCTTGATGTTGTAGTTTTGATCTTGTTGATGGTAATAATTTATCGAATGAGTTGAAAGAGAGGGGGTAGGTCTTCGTGGTTGGTATGGTGGTGGGGTGGAAGGGGTGGTAGCTGGTCGGGGATGGGATAGGAGGGGGCTGGGTAGGTTTTTTTCAATGCTTTTGAATTGATGCTTTGGTAATTGAGAGAGAGGGGATGAGAGAGAAAGAGGTGGAGAGCAGAGAGGAGAGGGGGAAAACAAAAGGAGGGAGAGGTCTATGGGGGAATGGGGGAGAAGAAATCGAACGGAGGGGGGACTGGGTTTGGGTCTCATGATTATTTTTTTTTCACTTTTTCTTCAATTTTTTTTAATTTTTTATTTATTTTACCCTATTTTTATTTGTTAATTATGAAAAATCGTATTTACTCTAAAATTTGGTTAAATCTAACAGAAAATTAGACGGTGGGACCAATAAACCGAATAATATAAAGTTAATGGACCACTTGAAAGAATAATTTAGTTTATGGACCAACATGTAAATTTGGTACAAATTTGGGGACCATTTGAGTAACTAACCCAATGTTTGTTTGTTGTTGTTTTTTTTATATACATAATATAGGGGGAGAAATCGAAACTAAGAGCCCATGTGCATAAGTAGGATCATTATTCGTTCATTTTTTTTCTATTTTATTAATGTATAAAAGTATTTTTAAAATTTGTCCGTTAAATAACTATTTCAATTTCAATTTTTTGTTTTAATTTTTTGTGTTAGATTATAGAGGAAAATGAAAGTGAGTATGAGGACGAGAAAAAAAAATATTTAAACTTGAAATGGTTCTGAAATGGACTCTTAGAAGTTGGACAAATCTAATGCCATATTTTAAATTTTATAATCACTATTTTTCCAAGTTCAACTTCAAAAAATTTCTAAATGTATGAATTGGATTATTTGTTAATTTTTAAGCCAAAAATAAAAGTTATTTATTATAATTTAAAAAAAATTAAAATTAAAACAATTAAATTAATAATCCGGTTCAAAATCAGAACTGGTCAAAACCGAACCAACAGGTTTTTGAAATTTTTTTTGCTTAAACTGGACCGATTAAATAGTACCGATTCTGGTTTGAGATGAGAACCGGACCAAATCGGACCGCGCCCACCCCTAGTACAAGTAGTGAAGATGATGTGTATTAATTGAGGCTACAGTTACAAGTGAAACTTTGCCTTCGATGGTCAATAGGGATTTCGGACGAGTAATTATGGAATCCGACTCAAGGGTTCTAATTTAGGGAGTGTTTGGTAGTGTAAGGAATCATGCTTGGATCATACTCCTTATTCCAGATGAAATAAGGAGAATGAGCTCCTCTCTAGATGAGGTGAAATGGAAGTGGATCCCTCGTAATTTTAATCGAGCAACACATGTTGCGGAAATCGATTGATTCCCAAACAATGCAACTGCTATGTTTTCAGCACTTTTGCATTCCTGGGTATGGCTTTGCCGCCCCTCTTTTCGCTCTCTATGAATGTCTCTTGCACATTTCCCAAAAAAAAATATATCTTTAATTTCATCCAATATCTTTAAGTTTAATTCGACATATATGTAAATGTAATTATAGAGCTTTCTTCTTGTGCATTTCTAGTTTGATATCATGTTGAAAAATGAAAAATTCATGCTAAAAAAATGAATCATGTTTCCATAGTTTATTCCCACATACCTAGCTTTCTTCTTATACATTTATAGTTTGAGATCATGTTGGAAAAATGAAACAAATAATGCCAAAAGATTAATTATGTGTCCCTAGTTTATCCCCACATACCTAGCATGACCGTTCAATAGTGCTAAGAATCTTTCTGGGTGCATTTGTACCTTCTTCTTTTTTTTACAATAGTGCTAAGAATCTTTCTGGGTTCAATAGATTATTCAATATATAATTAATCTTTGTTTGATGCACAAAACATATAATTAAACTAAGTAAATTGATTGGCCCTGTTTTTAGATCTTTTGGTTTTAAAAAAATGTACTGATATGGTACGGTCCCCTTATTTTGGACTTGTATGTCTTTCAGTTGGGCCAATTCACCAATGCCAAGATAAGATCTTTGAATACCTTTTGGTGGCCCAAAGTAAATTTCCACAAAGTGTTTGAAAATCTCCACAGCATTTGCTCATATCATCCACCTAGTCATTCTGACACCTTTTTTTTCCCCAAAAAAAATCATATAACCCAAAAGAACCATCTATATTCTAACGCCTCATTTGTTAAAGAGGACTAGACTAGACTAGTAAAATATGGATATGTTGCTTAACTTGAAGGATGAAGGATGACTATTCATAAGAGGTTGATGACTAAAACTCATCGCTCATAATCCTACCAATTTCAAGAGGAATCAGGAGAGATAAGTTTTAGTCATCAACCTATTATAGATTATAGATTGTCATCATTCTTCCTTTAAGTTAGACAACATATCCATATTATGCCTTCAATGCACATAAATTGCAGGCATTTTCCTAATCTAGTTTAGTCTTCCCTACCAAACAAGCCTTACATTGAAATAAATAAATCGTGTACCACGTATTGATACAAGAATTTGAATTCCTTATTGAGAAGCTTCCATTTCTCATTCCCAAGTTTTTTTCCCCGTAATTCAAACACAGCCAAGAATTCAAAACCAAATGTCCTTTTTTCTATCAAGGGTAGAAATGGAATTTGTCTGCCCTTTCCTATTTCCATCTCATTAATCATGTCGCAAATCGCGGAGGAGTTTTGAATGCACTATCAAAATACATACATCTCAATCAAATGACACACTATTTTCTTGGTAACAAGACAACGGTCACCACCTAGCCTAAAACTTTCTTTCTCTGCCATTTATAATTTATATGGGACAATGCTAAGTGGATGTTAAAAGGTTAGATCATTGAAAGTGACGGTACGATAAAGAAAAAAAGAACTTTGCAATTGGCATCCATGTTCAAAGATCTAAACCTACTCGAGTATACTTCGGGTCATGAATTTTTTTTAAAAATTCATTCTTTGGTTCATGAATGAAGAAATAAAGTACACCATTCACTTTAAAATTGTATGGATATAAAAGAAAAAGAGTCCGTTTTTTAAAGGATTTGTAGCTCTAGTAGTAGATTACGTCACTCATACACTACACACCCTCACATCCAATATCAAAATTCGAATATTAGCATCCTCTAATGAGTATGCCACAGTTGAAATGAAACTCGACGAAAATAAGGTCAAAATGATTGCTAATTTTGATAAGTCTCTCATTTATTGTTCAACTACCTCTTAAGTTTTTTGGGTAAAAAAATAAAAACTTTCGTGAGACATTGCTGTTATACTGACTTCTCTCGTCACGTGATTATGGGCATAAAAATGTTATCCAATTTCAATGAAAGTTTTTGGAGCCGTACGGAGTAGTATTGTTGCACCCTCAGTGCAAAACACTATTGTACTAATATGCTACCTATTAGATTTTTGTCGCTCATCGATTCAATTTCTCGAACTTATTGTTGGATGCATCCATCCACACTGACTATACTTAGGTTACAATTAGAGAACTTGTCCCTCCAAACGTTCCAACTTTGATTGATCATAACATACACCAACAAACATTCAAAGCTCGATCGTTCCTACCTATTTCCCTGTCTGTCTGTTGGCTGTTGCTGCATTTAATGACACAAAATCTTTCATGTACAGATGACGACGATGATTAATTCTTCTCCTAAATATAAATATAAATAAAAAATAAAAAAGAAGATGATCGAAGATGGTGTCTTCATCAGTCCAACGGGATGAGTGCTACAGATTTGTCGGGTTGCACCTTTATATATTTTATATTAAATTGAACTCTGATCACACTTTTTGTATTTGCTATCTATAATCTATGATTAAATAGTATCCAAGGTTAATGAACAGAAATTTATTTGTCCTAACACTACTGAGAAGTATGAATTATCTGTTTGCTGGGACCTAGAGTACCATGTATCACCTAAGTTGAAAAGAAATTTTGGATTTATATTGACAACACTATGCGATAATGTGTTGTGTAGAAGAAAATTTAATAATAACTACGTCAACTTATCGTTTTAATTTCGTCATCTAAACTAGTTTCATTTAATTTATTAACGGGTCGGTGAGATTTGTACTCAGAATTTCTTTCAACAAAGTACAAATAAAATGGGCATGATAAGTGTTTTTTGAATCCACCAATGACTCATAAGACCATAACCCCAAGTGCAAAAATCATGTTGTGTGAATTAGGTTTCCCATTCATTTGACTATTGAGGCAGTGAGCACAAGACTATTCAAATTGGAAAAGACTGTCAGTCCACCCACCAGACTATCTTTATTATTTAATTCCAAGTCGCTCAAGCAAGAATATTTAAAATATAAATGGAAGGACAAGGACCAGCTCACCAAGAACCTAAGTCCAAAAGGACAATGCACCAATGATTGCTTTATGTTTTGAAAATGGAGGTAGCTCAAAATTAGGAACTTGTTCGCATTTTAGCCCGGGAAAGACTTGGACATGTCCAAAAAACTTTCTTGTGATAATGTGAGATTGCCATTCCTACAATAGCATGATGACATCATAGTTTATATTAGGTTATTGTAATCCCTTAAATATACAATGATTTGCATTTTTATTCTTGAATTTTAATAATAACTGTTCTAGCCTTTAAATTATGTTTCTCATTACACTATTGATTATTTCATGAAATTTGCGTATTTTATTGTCAAAAATGGCCACATACCACGTACATGATCTAATTTATAATGTCAAACAACACATGCTCCCGCTTGCAGTTGAGAGAGTAGACTACTTCGTAGTTGAAGACTAAAACGCTCATTGGATGTAAAGGCACTCGCCTAATTCTTTAAGACATAACTCGCTTTTTATACTTGTTCCATCCTTCTCCTTGAATAAAATGCTATCGCCTTTTGACTCAAAAAACCAAAAAAAAACACATGGTAAGTAGTGCTAACTAGACAATGTCTGCTGTTAAATACTCTAAATAATTTTCATTATCACTCATCATGCTTAATGCATACCTTGTTTATTTCCTTAACTTTAATTTCTTATTTGGTTAATTGCTTAACTTCCTAATTTTCTCCATTGATTGTATTATTTGACTTTCATAATTTTCTCCATGGATTGTTTTCCCAAAAAGAAAAAGTTACCTTTCTTAAATTCATCATGCTCCCTTGAATATATTTTTCCGAATGAATTCTTCGAATTACCATCTGCAGATCACTGAAGCTTTTCTACATAGAAATGCGGGTTTCACAGACAAAATGATCTACCTTTCTTCAAATCTACGATAGAAAATGCGCCAATCGTCAAAGCCATCAAGGACAACTGTCAAAAATAAATCTAATCCCAAATCCAAATGTGAAACTGTCAGCAACTCAAAAAGTTGCGGTCATTGCACTCTGTGTTTGAAAAAACTGCATCTGCCCTTTTTGTTCTTCCTCCTCTCCTTTTCTCTCTCCTTGTCCACTTCACATCAGTTCTTAACAGAGAAATACATTAGCTGACAAAAAAGATACACAGGGCTTCCACCGACTTTTAGAAACAAAGACATGGGTTTCTCTCAATGAGCACCAAGGAGCAGGAATTTCAGAGCAAGACTGAGTTTTGACCCAAGATCACAAATGGGTTTGATTCTGTTTCTCGTCTCTCTGTTTATTTTGCTCGCATTTTCTCTCCCACCACATGTTCGTGGAAACGCGGAGCTTGAAGCTCTGATGAAGTTGAAGGCCTCTCTGGACCCGGAAGACAGGCTTTTGAAGTCATGGACCAAAGAAGGGGATCCTTGTAGTGGCTTGTTCGAAGGCGTGGCGTGCAATGAGCACCGCAAAGTTGCCAATATTTCCTTGCAGGGGAAGGGTCTCTATGGTGAGGTCTCACCAGCAGTGGCTGAGCTCAAATGCTTGTCGGGTCTGTATCTGCACTACAACAACTTATCAGGAGAGATTCCCAAAGATATTTCATATCTCACTGAACTCAATGATCTCTATCTCAACGTCAATAATCTCTCTGGGGGCATACCTTCTGAGATTGGGGACATGACTAGTCTTCAAGGTTGGTAATTTTCTTTGGATCAAATGTTCAGTTTCTGGAGAAAAGTAAATTTTCTTGTCTTTCTGGTTGGAGTGCCTTTTTTGGTTTATTGGTATAATTGGATGATTACTGTCTAAGATAGCTGATTGTACTAGTGAAAGCTCCGATTTTTCGTGGAAAAGTAGTTTAATTTCGTGATTTGAATTAGCATAACTGGCTCCTTTTTATATCATATTTGCTACCGCTGTCCAAACAAATGAAGATCACTGTTTCCTCTTTTTCTTTCTGTTGTAAAGATGCATTTTAGTTTGCTATATAGTTATATGGTCATGATTTAGCTCAGTCCATGCTCTTGGATTTATGTCATTTTGTGTTTCATTTTCGATTGCTCATTTAACATTATTGGCGTTCTTGGCTTTAATCGCCGTATATAATTTTCTTTCTCTTTGTCTGTTTGGTTTTTGTAGTTTTACAGCTGTGTTGTAACCAGCTGACGGGAAATATACCTACACAGATGGGATTTTTAAAGAGGCTAAGTGTTCTTGCTTTGCAGCACAACAAGCTAACTGGTCAAATTCCTGCAAGCTTGGGGGACTTGGGGATGCTTAAAAGGCTTGATTTGAGCTTCAATAAGTTCTTCGGTACAATTCCTGCAAAACTAGCTAGTGTTCCGTCTTTGGAACTCCTAGATATTCAAAGCAATTCTTTTTCTGGAGTTGCCCCTCGTGGTATGCCTACTTATTCAATCCTCAATTATTTCCATGAATTGTATGATATTTCAATTTTCTTTCCTTGGAATTTGCTGTGCTTTTTTTTTTACCCATTCTGATTTATCTTTCACTACTTTGAAATGGAAGATTTGAAAAGATTAAAAGAAGGATTCCAGTGCAAGAACAACCCACACCTATGCGGAGAATTTTCTACATTGAGAACTTGCACAGCTTTTGATATGGACAAGGTGAATGTCAACGGACTACCACGTGGACCAAACATAACGGATTCTCCTCCAAAAGCCAACCCTAAGCCTGCAGATTTCGAAGCACCTTGCAGCCAAACCCATTGCACAAAGTCGACCAAACTTCCACAAGCTGCAGTTGTTGCGGGAGTTATTTCCCTCTCTGTCACTTTGGCAGCGGCAGTATTTCTGGCCCTTATCCGTTACAGGCGTCACAAACAAAAGGTTAGCAATACATCAGATCCTTCTGATGGTCGGCTTAGTACTGATCAGGCCAAGGATTTCTATAGGAAAACTGCGTCTCCACTTGTGAGTCTTGAGTACTCTAATGGATGGGATCCATTGGCTGATGGTCGAAATGGCATTGCTTTCTCCCAGGAGTATCTGAGTAAGTATTGGTTCAACATGGAAGATGTAGAGTCTGCAACACAATACTTCTCTGAGGTGAATTTATTGGGGAGGAGCAAGTTCTCTTCTGTTTACAAGGGAGTTCTAAGAGATGGTTCTCTTGTGGCTGTTAGGATTATTAATGTGACAAGCTGCAAGTCTGAGGAAGCTGAATTTGTGAAGGGACTAGACTTATTATTTTCACTGAGGCATGAAAATGTTGTCAAGCTGAAAGGCTTCTGCTGCTCTAGGGGCAGGGGTGAATGTTTTCTTATCTATGATTTCATTCCCATGGGAAACCTCTCTCAGTATCTTGATGTAGAAGATGAAAGGAACCAAGTCCTTGAGTGGTCCAATAGAGTCTCTATCATCAACGGCATTGCAAAAGGTAATTTATCTTCATTGAAATTTTCTGTTCATCATTTAACTTCCTCAATCCCTGCCACATTGCTCCTGTTTCTTCATTTTTAGCTTCGATGCACAAGCCACTTGAAACAAATTTTAGTTTGCACTGGGGTTCCGTTCTGATTTTAATTTTGTTCCAAATAGACTAAGTTTTTTCTTTATTCTCTTCCGTTTCTCTTCAAGACCCTTGAAAATTAACACCCAAAAATCCTTGAAAATTGAGTTACAAGGCTTAGTTTGAGGGTCCAAGACCTGTTTCTGTGAGTGCACATTCCAGTATGTTTATTCTGATATTGGTTTTTCTTTTCCGACCAGGTATTGGTTATTTACATAGCAGTGAAGCAGACAAACCTGCCATAATTCACCAAAACATATCTGTTGAGAAGGTTCTCATTGATCACCATTTTAACCCATATATTTCGGACCCTGGCCTTCCTAAGCTGCTAGCTGATGATGTTGTCTTCTCCACTCTGAAAATAAGTGCTGCCATGGGATACCTAGCTCCTGAATACATCACCACTGGTCGTTTCACTGAGAAAAGTGATGTATATGCATTTGGAGTCATTGTCCTCCAAGTTATATCCGGAAAACTACAACTCAGTAGTTCAATGCGATTGGGTGCAGAGTCACGCAAATACGAAGAATTTATCGATACCAACCTGAAAGGGAAATTCTCAGAATCTGAAGCAGCTGCACTGGCAAAAATCGCGCTTGTATGCACCCATGAGCTTCCCAACCACAGGCCAACAATGGAGGAAGTAATTCTGGAGCTGAGTAACCTTAGAGCCAGTTCCTGATGCCCCACTTCTATGTTCCATATGTGGAAGAAACTGCTGCAGATTATGACCTGGGAAGTGAGGCCTCGATCGAGCTTCACCCATCGAAGTACAGCTAAATGAGCATGTGAACGTTTTATCAGCCTCCTCTAAATTGAATGTGGTGGAAAGTAAATTTCTGGGGTACAAGTCTTCCCTGCAATTATCGTAAACTATATTTAGCTATGTGAAAAGCCGGCACAAGCCATCTTGAAGATGGTCCAGAGAATAAGATTAGTTATTCCATCTGTGAAACATCTTTCCCTTAGTTTCTCATACATTTTAGGGATGTCTCTGCATCTGTTAGCCCGCGTGTCTGGTGCTGATTGCTCAATTAGTCATGTATAATTTGTTTAGTTAGACAATAACCAATATAAGCTGCTTAAGCTACTAATTATGCAATGGATTGTCATGCTTAATCATGCGATGGATTGTCATGGTTTCCTCATAGTGAGTTAGAAATCAACTCAACTTTTGGCGTGACTGTCTTAAAACGCCTTTGGTTCTATCAATGGGAAAACTAGATATACAACATCATCTTTCTCGAAACAAATTCCTTTTTTTTCAACCTCAAACAAAAAAAAAAAAAAAAAAAAAAAAAAAAAAAAAAATAGTAAATGTATGGAAATACATCATTGTCAACACAGAGACAACATCATTCTAAACAGCTGCACTTTGATGTTGAGGCTCTTGAAGCCATTCAGCAGGCCACCAATGTGGTCTAATAGCCTCAACCTTTATATCTTTCTGTCCTTGTATGGTCAATGTACTTGATCCCTTGAAGGCTTCGTCCAAACGCAAGACACCCAGCCCACGACAACCAAGTTGAGTGGTGATGGTACCGACCTTCTTTTTGGATACACTATCTATCACTTCGGATCCTGGGGCAACTTCCTGCTCCGCTTCTGAAAGAACAGAAAGGTTAAGTTGGGATATACTGAGCAAATAAAAGCACGAAAGTTCACTTAGAAGGTGGAGTACCTTCTCCACTGTCCTTCACAAATCTTAAAGGAAGCAAGCGCTTGCGAATCACCCCTCGGTGGTGTGTGCGAGCTACAAGCTCTTGGCCCACATAACACCCTTTGTCAAAGCTAATTGCATTGAGACCCACCAGGTTATATTCAAGAGGAATTGCCTCACCTAGACATGGTAATAACAAGTTCAGACTTGCTTTAAACAGAACAAGAAGCAGGATATGGGAAAACACAAGCATACCAGTAAAATATAGAGACTTAATTCTAGACAACTCCAGGACACAATAGAATCACTGAAGCACAATAACTTGCCATCAACACTGAAAAAGTTTTTCAAAAATTTACCAAGTAAATTGAGAACAAAAGAATATTGTATTGTAACATAGATGGTCTGCAAATACTGAAAAGCCAACGTATAACATCAAAGAGGAAGTAAAGATGCACCTTTTGGGATCTCAGTTGAGCCTTCTGCAACTCCGTTCTCTATTCTCCATAGAAGGTAATTCTGGTCATCTGTTTCTTTGTCAGCTTCAACCAAAGGTGCTGCAATAAAAATAAACATATGCAGCTTAATCAACAAGGAGGTTTGGGAAGCTGTAAACACATTCAAAGCTCAAATGTAGCAAAGGGTTAAAAACTCACGTGTAGTATTAGATGGGAAGATCCCCCTAAAACCAAGGCAATCCAATCTAGGATCCTCAAACCACTGCCATCCAAGAGGACCCCCATGTGAAGCTGACATTCCTGCAGGATCAACACCAGCACCCCAGCCAACACTAGCAGCCTCCGGTTCTTCCACAGAGAAAGATTTTTCAGAGAGGTTTCCCCCAAAACGCTGCCAGCAATATAACTCTTCTGCCATATTCTCGATATCAACCTTAGACCTCAAACGATATCTGCCAAGGAAAAATAATAATAATAAGGAAACAGAAGCCAACCCGTATTACAAAATTCACAGAGTAACACAAAGGAAAGGAGACATTTGCTTCTCAAAGCAATCTTGAAGACTTGGTCAGTCTAATTTTTGAAGAAAGGCAGACATGGGAGGGTAAAAATACAGAGACATTAAACCAATGGCTTGAATCTTATTTCTAAACCATTTAAGCAAGACTAAGCAACAGCAGCGTCCCTACATAGCATGAGATGCACAAATGGCATTGCTTATTTGTTACTTAATCAGTTACTAATGTTCACATATAGAGCATGTAGCAAGAGACTACAAAAACTTGATAATGAAGAAACCACAACTGGTGGTAAACCCCTTGACAGAGTTTCCTTAGTTACAAAGCAAGGTTGGAGATAAAAGAAATTATCCATTAATAGCACATTTCAATCAAAATTTTAATTCCCTAACCCCAAAAGATGAAAAGTTGAAAACTTATACAAAACCCAACAGTGAAAAGAAAAGGCGTTTTCAAACAAAACCAACATCAAAGTTAGCGCCATTAAGAGAAGCTAAGCTAAGCTAGAGAGAATGTGATGCGCAAATAACTCACTTCTTCAAGGTGCTCAAGAGCTCATCCAAAACCGAAGCATCCACGTCCGCAAAGAGCTCCAACGCTTCATCTGGGTCGGGCCCGGGTCCCGACCCGGTCTTATCAAGCTTGGTATCGGGCCTGGGCGGGGCGTACAAGAAGAAATCGTACAGGAACCTCCCCTGGGGGGTCAACAGCGCGGCGTACATGGGCGCTTCCGACGCAGTGGGCAAATTGGGCGTGGCCAAAGTCGAGGTCTTTTCACCCACGGCCTCACCGAACCTCCTTACATCTTTGGTCAACAGACCCTGAAGAAACTTGACCGTGTCTGGACCTCGGAACCGGACCACCGCCCGGGACTTGAGGACCGAAGCCACGGGCCCAGCATTATCGAACTGGGTTTTGTCGTGGATGGCTCTGTAACTGGAGGAAATGGATTTGGGGAACCGAAGGGAGAGCTTGAAACGGTGCATTCTTCGTCTGTGTAAGTCTGGGTGGCTCTGGAGAAGGAGCTCTGACGATGATGAAGGAAGGAGCTACGCTGGTGGTGGTGCCGCGTGTGCTTGTAGGCGTACTGGGCTTTTGCCACGTGTACTTTTAGGCGGTTGTCTGTAATTTAAGGTGGTGATCTGTATGTGTTCGATGAAAGTCCTGAGTGAGCTAAAAGTGATGTTTGCAGGTTAGGTGCCGTGGCAGATGGCGGGTGTTGATTGGGGATTATTGACCTGGAGTGGGAAAGAAGATGGATCACGTTTAAAGGGTTTTGGGTTTCAGAGTGAGACAGATAAAGGTCTATGGTGGTGCTCAGGATAACTGGGCTGTAAGATTAGTCCCAAAAAGTCAAACCTCTGTTCAAACTGGGCTTCTTTAGGATTATTCTTTAGACCTCATTTCTCAAGCCCATGGTTTTTTATTTATGTATTTTTATTAAAACAAGCGATATTGGAGGGAGAATCGAATATAAGCCCTTGAATATAAAGGTAAATGCTATTAACCACTTGAACTATAAGACCTTGCTCCATCGTTCATATTTAGAAGGAAAAAAGAAGAAGATATATTTGGAAGCATATCAAGTTGCGATCATGTTTTACGTGCGACCATGTATGTAATGTGCATGGTGGACTCGTATTTTGCGGAATGGATATCGATTTCCTAGTAGATGACTTGGATGATAATCAGTGCTAACTCATGCGTTCATGCACCAAAATCTATATGGAATATGAGTTGTATTTAGTACCTCTAAGAAATATGATTATAGTTTGACTGATTAATATATTTTTCTGTTTGAGAAAGATCTTTTATTCAAAACCATAGAAGCAAGATAAGCCTAAAACGGTCAACTCATAATTCAAACGTGAAAAAATATGAAATAAGTGTCATCTCTGAAGAATAAAACTGGAGTGCTACTAAACGAACTTTAAAATTAACTGAGTAAGTACACCATACTACAAAAGTATATATTGAATTATTGATTTACCATAATATAAAATGACCAAAAAGGATATATGGAATTGTGAAACAAATATAATTTTAATAAGTACATCATACTAACCATATTCAACCCTAATCAAGAGATTACTTGGTTCTCATCTTTGTGATCCGCAAGTGCAGCCAGGGACAGCAAAAGAAAGAGGCTGAAGTTGATTTCTGGCCGTAGGCTTTGGCCAGCAAAACAAAGCCACCGCTTCGAGGTAGGAGAATCTTAACTCATTACTAGCAAACAATAAAAAGATTAATATTTCTCAAAATCGATCCTTTTGTCTTTCTCTTTCTATGTTCATAGTGGATACCAAAAGTACACCTTAGGCCATCTCCAGTCATAGGGCTAAATGTAGTCCATGGCTAAAAATTTAGCTCCTCAAAATATTAATTTTTTAAAGAATAGTGTATGACTAAAATTTTCCATCTCCAGTCATGCATTGCTATATTTTAGGATCTTTCATATTTTATTATTTTGAAAAGGGGAGTGGGGAGTGCTTTAATGATTGGTTGTTGAAAAGCACATGGATGGGGCCCACTATAAATTTGGCTTAGGCCAAAGCTAGGCTACATTTGCCCCGGTTGGAGGGCTAAAGGGCCAAATGTGGCCCTCCAAATTTGGCCAAAATTTTATTTAGCCCATGGCTGGAGATGAGTTTTGCATTAATTTAGGGCTATATTTGGGATATAGCCCATGACTGGAGATGGCCTTAGAGCACTAGTTCTTATTAGATTCCAATTGTATCAGTTTTCACTTTTTCTTATTCACTTTACACCAATAAATTCACGTACAACATACAAGTTATTGGTTTCCAACTACGAATAGTCCATCTAGAGAGGTTGAGAACAAATAAATTTCACAATAGCATAGTAGTATATAACTGAAACATGCATAAAAAATCACTATTAACAAAAGAGGTGGTGATTGCAAGAACTTGGAATTGCAAAAAAAGTGTCAATAGTTTTAGTAGAAGCATAAATCCATATGAAAAGTCAAATATTTATAAACACTATTAAAAAAATCAAGCTGAAAATCAACTATAAAATAATTCTACAAGTATTAGGGTGCACCATGGGTATTTTTGGTAGTTCAATAGGGTGTACTTAGTTAATTTTACATTTTAATTAAAATATTAGGGTATACTTATATCATAGGGTGTACTCAATTAATTTTAGGGTTCGTTTAGCAGCACTTTAAAAATGTTATGCGTGAATACTATCACGAGTAAGAACAGAACTAGAAATTTTTCAACAGGTGGGCTAGCTAAAGGGTTAGGGTAAAATCTAATGAACATTTTTTTTGTACTTGCAATTTCTATAGTCTTTGTAAAAATAAAAGTATACATTAAATCATATAAAACACGCTAGTTCATAACTTTATTGACTAATTTTTAATAAATTTTAACATAAAACAAATACATATTAAATGCAACAAAAAAGAGAGATTATCAAAATAAAAAATATGGTCAACAACAAAATTGAAAGTGTACCTATTTCAATATGTATTTTTATTGCTGCATTGCAACTAAATTCATAAACAATTGAACTTTTTTTGGACTTTATTAGATTAATACATACTGGGTTTTATTTAAAACAAGCAAAATATATAGGTTTGATTTTATTTTCTCCACCCAAAAACATCACTAGGCTATAGCCCACCTTAGTCATTAACTTGGTTCTATCAATGATCACGAGATACAAACAAAGAAAATGATCACGAGAAAATCAACACCAGATTAAATCTTTGATTAGGAGGCCGGAATAAATTAAAAAAAGGACAAGATTAGATTATCTCTCATATACTAATCATGAGATTAATTTAATATTAGAGGTCATGTCACGCTAGAGCTGACTAAAAGAGCATCCTTAGCCAAGTTATTGTGCTTACCGGAATCTTATATTTGATTGTGCTCCAAGTTATGTCTTCTATTGTTTAATTATAAATTTGGAGAAAAGTTCACCTAATTAATTGGGTGGCAACCGACTTTAGGTTGTGCTAATCATATAACTTGCCTGCCTTATAAATTTGTAAATTTTTTATTATATCTTCTTTTTAAATGGTCAAGCTTGAAAAATGACCTAACTTTCTTTCTCACATAAGTGAATTTTTATTTTATTATTACTATTAGGTAAATATGTAAATTCGGGGAGACTTACTGAAGAAGACAAAGACAAACAAAGGTTTGGAGAGAATAATTCTACGCCCACGAAAAAGAAGTTTCAATGGTCCCTTTTTTTCCTTTCTGGTTCAAGAACATCTAGAGAGTTGGCCTTCGTTGAATCAAATTCTCCGGCTGATCACCCTTGTGTTGGTTCAAGATTGTTCGGAAACAAAGAATTTTTCTACTTGAAAAATAAGCCATGGTTTTTCGCAGAGAATCCAGACACCTTATTTGAAAAGAAATTGAGTACACAAAAGCAGTTTAGCCTTTGGATTGAATGCAATGCTATGCGAGTAGAAAACCAAACCCTTCACCACCTGCGCAGCGCAGACCTTTTTCACTCTACACCACCCAATATGCATGAAGTGATAAAGATTTGACGTCAAGGGCAGGTGGAGGACGTTGACTTTGGCCTTTTTGGTTTTCGTACACGGCCCTTTACGGAAGCCGTGACTTCACCATCCTCACAGCCTGCTTTGCTTTACCGACGCGGTGACTTTATCATCCTTTCTATGACACTATTTTGTTATTCTTCATCAATAATGCTATAACATAAAGTTAATAGTCGGATAGCAAAATAATATTACACCAGTTGTAAAAACGTTTTTCACTTACTTTGCGAACGCAGTGACTTCATCATCCTCTCTCTCTCTCTCTCTCCTTATTTCAGTAATTTCACACTCGCACTTTGCTGCCTTGCATATTTCAAAGGACAAACTAATTTATGGAGAGACTTCTTTACACAACCACAATCTCTAATGCATTATACGTGGGTTAGACCAATAGATCACAAGAGCAAGATTATCCCCTTTAACTCAAATTCCAATCCCTCTTTTTACAGATTAAATTAACTTAGAATAATTTATATTATCGTTTATATAAAAACGAAAACCACCGTCCCTCGCTAAAATCCTATGTTCTTTAATTTTTTTTAAAATGATTTTTTATTTGTCTTGTTAAATGAGAGTGGATATTAGTACGATCATGGCTGGCTAAGGCAACTCGGTGTATGTTTTCATTTATATTTTGTTTTGTGGGTCAAATTGCGTTAGAATTTGAGAGGATTAACAACCGTTGAAAATATAAAACAATTTTGAACTCATGGGTTCAATATCTAATCAAATAAAAACAAACGCTTGTTTTATCAACTTCAGCAGAGAGAACTGGTCCACTTTTGACGTGGCAGCCTCACTACCCAATAAGCATGAAGTGATAAAGATTTGACGTCAAAGGCAGGTGGAGGACGTTGACTTTGGCCTTCTTGGTTTTCGTACACAGCCGTTTACGGACGCGGTGACTTCATCGCCCTCACAGGCTGCTTTACCGACGCGGTGACTTCATCATCCTCTCTATAGCATTATTTTATTTATTTTCAATCGATAACACTATAATTATGACATGCGTGCGTAATTAGAATTAGAATTGCATGTGACATAATCTTATTAGTTGGAATAGCAAAACACTGTTATTTCCATTGCAACTACGTTTTCCTCTTGCTTTATGAACGCAGTGACTTTATCATCCTCTTTCTTTCCATATTTCAGTACTTTCACACTCTGGACTTTGCTGCTTTGCATATTTCAAGGGCAATTTAATTATTGCATGGACTCTTTTTATAAAACCACAATCTCCAATTGCATTATGCACACGTCCAGTTGGTCACAACATTAAGTTTATCCCTTTTACTCAAGTTCGAGCCCCTCTTTCTATATATTAAATTAACTAAGAATAATTTAGATTATCGCTTATATAAAGCGAAAAACCACGGCGCCTAACTAAAATCCTATGTTCTTTAATTTTTTTACATTATTTTTTGTTTGTCTTGTTAAATGAGAGTGGATATTAGTACCATCATGGCTGGCTGAGGCAACTTGGTGTGTGTTTTTATTTATATTTTGTTTTGTGGGTCAAATTGTGTTAGAAATTTGGGAGGTTTAACAACCCGTTGAAAATTTAAAACAATTGTAAACTCATGGGTTCAACATCTAATCAAATTTTTTAAAATTTTATAAATTATTAAAAAAAAAAAAAAAAAAAAAAAAAAAAAAAAATCAACATGGTATTTGATAATAGAAAGAGAAACAGCGTTTTAGTGCCGTACAAGTATAAAGTTTCCTGTTTTCATATATAAAATCAAGTTTGTGATAAGAGGGCTGTGGGTGTGTGGGGGCAGGTATTAAGATTTAAGGCATTAGTGATTAGTGGTGATGCCATCATTTTAAATGAGAAAAAAATAAAAGATTGCCAGATACATATTTCTAAAGCAAAATGATGGATTTCTATTTCCTTTCCTTTTCTTTTTTTAGATATTGTACAACTGGACGAAAGATAAAAAAGAAACTTAGATACTAACAAATGAAACAATTATCGTTTGAAACTCGTAAATGAATTCGGATATGAACAAATGAAACACTTTTTATCGGATATAAAAAGTTTTGGCAAGTGTAGCGATTACTCAATCCCATAATATTAGGAAGAAATGGAGGCAGGAGAAATGGGTTTGTGACCAAGTGGCAAAACCTTTGGTTCCAACTAATACGTTATATATATATTTTTTTAAAAGGGATTAAAATGGAAAAGACACAGAAAACCAGGTTGGTGTGATGTGTATAAACAGTTGGAAAAAGAAGACACTCAAATCCATTGTATTGCAAAAATGTAATACCAATCTACACGTTGGTCATGCGCGGCAGGGGCGCAATGTCAACGGTCCACGAGAACCTCTTGTAGGACCTTTTGCTGTCTGCGTCTCAAATAAAAAGGCCAACTTGGACTGTCATTCTTACAACCCAGATTTTATTAGCTTGCCATCAAAGAAAAGCATTTCCTCAAAACAGAGAGGAGGACAGATATAGGAAGAAGAAAAACAAAAAACCCCATTTGAGGGAAACAAAAAACCCCATTTGAGGGAAAAAAAAAAGGAAAGCCCCCCAAAGCGAAAGGAAGAAGAAGAAGAAGAATCAGAAGGAGAATTTGGGCAGAAATGAAGCTGATTTGGTCTCCCGAGAATGCAACCAAGGCCTACATCGACACCGTTCGATCTGTGAGCAATTCTTTCTTGAAAAGTTTCTTGCTTTTAGTTGATTTCATGGCCGATGAATTTAATTTATATGGTTTCGTTTGTTTTTCTTGATTCTTATGATCTGCGTTTTGTTTGCAGTGTGAGGTTTTTCATGAATCTGGGGTTGCAGAGCTCATTTCAGCCATGGCTGCCGGGTGGAACGCAGAGTTCATCGTTGAGACATGGTCGCAAGGAGGGGTCACCGCAACAAGCATCGGGCTTGAAATCGCCACCCGCCACACGTGCGCACGGCACGTGTGTGTAGTCCCAGATGAGCAGTCAAGGTCGGAATTTGTGGCAGCAATGAAAGAGGCAGGGATGGCGCCGGAGGTTCTTGTTGGGGAGCCAGAGGAGGTGATGGCCGGGCTTGTGGGGATAGATTTTCTGGTGGTGGATTCTAAGCGCAAAGACTTTGCTAGGGTTTTGAGGCAGGCAAGGCTGAGCCCTAGGGGCGCAGTTTTGGTGTGCAAAAATGCTAGTTCAAGAAGTGCTTCTAGTTTCAGATGGAGAAGTGTTGTTGATTGTGGGTCAAGACGTGTGGTTAGGTCTGTGTTTTTGCCTGTAGGGAAGGGTCTGGATATGGCTCATGTGTCTAGCAGTGGAGGGAATTTAGGTTCAAGCAAGGGGGAGAATAGATGGGTTAAGCATTTTGATCAACAATCTGGGGAAGAACATGTTATCAGAAAGTGATTTGCTTGAAAGAACATAATTTTTTTGTTTGTTTTTTTATCTTTACGTAGTTTTGCTGTGGACCCAATTGTGTACGTACATATTTGTCTCTTGGAACCAATTGTTTTTCTTTTTCCTTTGTGTTTGGTTAAACTTGTATGTAGTTGGATTCTCGTGAAAATGAATCAGAAATGCCTCATCATTTAACAACCAAAATCAATAGCCCACATGACTTTAATTTCAGTACTTTGTTTCTTTCAATAATGTCCTTTCAGGTGTTTAATTCGATTCTGGAACACTGGAGAGAGAGGGAGAGAGAGAGAGAACATTTTGCACAATCAATTCAAAACTGTCTTTCCGCTCTCAAAAAACAAAATAATGGGTACAGATTAGCAAACCAATTAACAACCAATGCCAATAGAAAGCCCTAAACATTGAGAATGTCATACAATGTGACAAAAGAGTTATCTTCAGAGCAGCTATTAGTTGATCTGTGTACATCCAGTAACAGTCATCATGTTTTCTGTTTGAAAGCCTATAGACATATGGTCATTTTACATCAAAAGAACTAATTCTGTCCAACAATTGGTATTTTCAGCAGTCTGCTCTTGAATCCAAGGTGTGATAAAATTCCATCACTTGAACTGTTTCTCCATACGATCATGGAATCGCAAATGCATCAACCTCTCCTCTACATAGAAAAAAGTGTAAAGATGCAGTGCAGGAAAGATATTTTAGTCAGCAAAACAAACTAGTAACAACCAAATGAATGATAAATCACTGAATCGTGAGTGAGAAAAGAGCGTGCCGACATACACAAAAATTCTCAACAAACTGTGAGTCGGACCATACGTAGAGTAGGTCAGTCCCAACTGTCTCGACTTCTTCTGAATGATTTTTTGTCTGAAAGAACCTTCTTGCTCTTAAGGCGTTTTTGTTCGCCAATAGCAGCCCTGCAAAATACAGAGGCAATAACTGAGACAAAATCAGATCCCGCACCATCCAGAACACAAGGACAATTTACAATACAAAGGATATTGTGAAGAGACAGTTGGCAAAAGCAAAGGTAAAGCATTTGCAAATGCACAAGATAAAGAGTTCTCACATTTTAGCAATCTTCTTCTTTTGCTCTTCTGAGGGAGGAGGTGGGACATAAGAAGCAGCATCAATGATTGCCTGTTTCACTAATTTATTAGAATCATTTGGGAGTGGCCAAAAGCAAGGCACATGCTTTTCCCAAAATTGAGCCACTTATGTTTAAGCATCAAAGCACTGGCCATAATATATCATTCCACAAGAACAGAAAGAGAAATACTGATTTTTATTAGTACCTGGAGTTTTTCAAGAGCATCTTCAATGTTACCCCTGAGGAAGAATGGTTGCATCAAAACCAAATGCATTGGAAAAACAAAGAAAAATTTATAATTTAAAAAGAAGAGGAAAGAATTTTACTTTTGTGTTCGAGTCTTTGTTGAAGAAATCACAAGCTCCCCATCCTTGTTAATCCGATTCTTCTCCTGTTCATAAACAAGACAAATGAAGAAGAGATTATGAGATAAAATATTCGAGCAGCTATTCACACAAAAATGGAAACCACAACAATCACGATAATCCTGCATACAGTTGTAAACATGACACAGATTGCAAGAGTTTTAGAAAACCAATAACCATTATGATTGATGAGAGAACAGGGAGGCCTCTTAGCACATCATCAGTTCGCAAAATGATGAACTGACAAAATTCTCCTATCCAGATATTTTGAAGTGTCCTCTATGTCCAGTCAAAATGAGATATTGATAGGTAAGGAATCAGTTCTCTTTCAAACCAGGCACATTCTAGTGCAGGGATTTCCTCATCTGAGGTCCCTTCTATGTGCCCGCTCTATCTTAAACCTATGACGGGGTATGTAATGATCACTACTTCCCTCCTCCCTACACAGAAATTCTTGCTTTTCTTATTCATCAAGAACAAAAGGCCATGAGAAATGACAGCCACAAACCATTTGCAAAATCCTCTCCCTGATCCATTCGCTTAGCCAATACGCCTTTTGTACATTGAAGCGCATGTCCACCTTGGTATTCACTGTAAAATCAATAGCAAAATTAGCAACAATTTGGCATTAACAAGTTAAAAGAAGAAAAAATCCAACCCGCAAAGAAGACAGAAAGACATGTACAAACCTTTGTTGACATTCTGACCTCCAGGTCCCCCACTTCTTGCAAAACTCACAGTTACATGGTCTTCATATATATATGGAGAAAAAAAAATTGATCAAATAAATCCATGGTTTATGTGAACGCTAAAATATAACACTACAACACAGAAAATGCAAACCTTCTGCTTTACACTAGTAATTTTGTACCATGAACTCCTTAATTAAACGAATCAAGGAAGAAATTATGATATAATCTACAGTACCTCAATCTAGTAAGTCACTACTATAATGCTATAAATTCATTTTTTAAAAGTTATGCAAATTTGGAAAAATATTTAGAGTGAGTGAGAGACCTAAAGTGATCTTAGGAGGGGGCTGGGTGTCAGCGGAGAGAGCTCGCTCCTCGGCTGCTTGCAAGAGCTGGTTGACCTGAGAGAGCCGAGCCGACACCTTGTTCCCGCCACTTCCCGAATTCGACGCGGCGCACCGGACACTGCCGATTCTGATTCCTCCATTGGAGGAGCGAAGCAGAGTCGTACGGATTGATGGAGGAAATGACAGGTATGGTTGAAGGATGTGTCTGAGAATCATGTTCGTTGTCGTTCTAAGAACCGCCATTTTCGCTGTAAAGAAAACCCTAAAATACGTTTTAAATTTAAATTATCTTTTTTTTCTGGTCAGCCTTTTGTCTTTGGGTTCCTCTGGATTAAATATTGGGTCTGGGTTTTTGTGGTTTAGAGCACTTCATTTTTAATTTTTTTTAAAGGTATTCAGAGCACGTCATTAGAAAAATGATAATACTAATAACATTTTTGGGTCTTAGTGAGGCTCTAAATCGTCAGTCCAAACTGAGTACGGAATTATATACATATACTATAGGAAAATGTTTATTACTGATTTGGTGTTTTTGGAATTTGAGCGTGCATGTAAAGCCAAACTGTAAAGAGCATATAATAATTTTCAAACCATACCAAAATATAGAAGAAAAAAATGTAGAATTCATTGTCTTTCCCTTGGTAGATCAACAAACCTTTGGCGGACGAAAGTCACAACTTTTGCAAATTATAGTAAACGTGGGAAGTCAGGAATTTGATGCCATTAAAGAATTGACGTTAAAATGCATCAAGAATTGGCGACAAAACCTCAGCTCGCTTTACTACAAGAATCCGCGACAGTTAAGTCGCCGTTTAATCAAGATTCAGGGGCATTCGATGGATATTAAAGCCTACAGAACCATGATCCCATTTCAAATGGCATCAATTAAAAATAAACAGTATACAAGAGCACACTACTACCAGCTGACGTCCTGCCGCTATGAGCTCAAAATATGCTACTAGGAGATAAAAACAAGGATCGGAAGACAGACATAATAAGCCCCGTTGCGCTAGCTCTAATCTCTTGCTTTCCCACGGGAATAACCATTCTTGTCCCTAACATCTGCTCTCTTCCTACCAGACTGGTTCGAACGGGAAGATCCTGCCTTCTCTTTGGCATCTGACATCATATTTCCAGGGTTCTGTGAACTCTCGGTGGAAGGAAGCGCCCAACCTCCCCGACTAGCCTCCTCACGTCCACTGCTGCTAGCTCCTGGTACCAACCAAATCATAAAACACAAAGAATTAAAATCATCAAAAATGTCAATCATTGCTTCATTTGTGATGTTGGCATCCTTGACAAGATAATGTGTTGAAATTTTCATTCTTAACCTTGACATCCATTCAGCTAAAGCATACAACCTCACATTTATCTAAACAAAGTGGGCAGTTTTCCAAGCATAGTTTAGCAAAACATACTTCTGCATTTACCAATAAGTATCACACCAAAGGGCACGACATTCAATAAAACCTAACACACTAGCCGTATATGCTCTCCTACAAAGGTTCAAGCCCCAGTATGCATGCTGTAGCATAAGCACAACCACAACTCTCATTATCCTAAAAATTAGTTAAGGTTCCTAAAAGAAATGAGGCAGGCAAGAAACTCTTGCAAAACACAGATATAAATAGACCCACGGGCACTGAAAAAGATGCAAGAACTTTTTAAGAATTCATTAAGGAACCAAAAATGAATTATCCGCAACTTAATGGTACATACAGTCAACAGAAGGTTCATATACACACAATACTTAGCCAACACCAAACTGCAAAAATGATATTTACCCATTTTTCATCAGAGTCAAAAGTCAACATTACAAACTCACCTAGATTTTCGTAACCACCAAATTTATCAGTGCATCCAGGCAAATGTTTTTTAGCAGTTCCTTTCCATGCTTCTTCAAAACCGGAAATCTCATCTAAAATTTCCCAATCAGATGCTCCAAGTTAGTTTATATACCAAAACAACACTATAAACCTTCTTGCACAGGCACATCATTGCATATAAAGTTTACATACCTTGGTTAAGATTGTGCAAGGTCTGCATTGTATCCACCTTACCGTCTGTTTTGAGCTTCCTAGAAATTGAATGGCCCTAAAAGGAGAATCCTAAATGTAAGCGTTCTACTGACATCATGAAATTGATGATCCAAGATTCGAAAGTAAAAGACACATCAGCAACAAAACTAGATGGCACCCAAAAAATACCTTATTGCGGAGCCCCTTAGATACCCTGTGTGTTGCCTGCCCAGAAGTAGTATCAGCTTCCTTACTTTCTTCAAAAGCCAACTGCTCACACAAGAAGCGCAAATTAGAAACATGACTACTGTGAAATGAAAAAAAATTGAGAACCTTTCACAATTACTTACCCCATCACTCCCCATCCTTCTTGTCTTGGATGAAGTATAATATGCACCATTGGCACCACCATAAGAGACACTGGAGCTCTGAAATGTGAAGCTATGAGCTTGAGGCTGGGATTGCATAGCATTATACCGGTTATAGTTGTCCCTATGCTGCAAATGCTTGCTGCTCTTCTCTGCACAAAAGGGGGAAAAGCATTCCTAATTATTTAGACTCAGACAAAAACATTCAGTAATTACCAAGGTCAATAGCAACCAACTATTTAAAACATCTTACCTTCAACTTCATCATCAGGATCCTCAACATAAGGTTCATTGCTTGGTCCACTGCGTTTTCGAGGATTTTCTTTTTTCTCATTATCAGCATCTTCATTTTCATGATCAGAGTCTATTTCCTCAATGATTGGGCCCCTTGGTCTCTTAGGCTCTGGAGCCTGATGCTCAATGAACCCAGTTGGCTGCATATCTGGAAAATTGCCTCCACCTGGACCAAAAAAACTCGACTCCAACATCCCTCCAAATGGGGGCATACCTCCAAACGGGGGCATACCTCCAAACGGGGACATACCTCCCAACGGGGCCATACCTCCCAACGGAGACATACCTCCAAATGGGCGAGTGAAGAAAGGGTCATCAAATGGATCCCTTCCTCCAAAAAGATTAGAAATCAAACTCCTCTGACCCCCAAATCCACCAAACCCCCCAAAACCAGCAAACGGATCATTGAAATCAGAGAAAGGACTCCTGCCACCTGGACCGCCTCTGCCCCCCTGCATCTTCTAACCACTACAACCCCTGAAAAATAAAAATAGGCAAACCAAAACTTTAACAAATATATGGTAAGAAGTACCTTCCACACTCTACAGACATAAAACTTGGCATTCAGAATTAAACTATAATGAATTTCCAAGAAGCAAGTGGTTTAGACAGCAAATAGAAGACCAAATCACCACTGATTGATGCAGACAATTTCTCAAGCAAAGTATAAAAATTTGCATAATCAAAAGATCATGCATCGTTTTTTTATTCGAAACTATGTTACTATAGCCACGCAAAAAGAAAAACACGAAAATTCATACGTTGCAATAACATTTCCCAATAAAAACCAATCCTATAAACTTTTTCCTGCAACTATAGCAAAATAAATCCCTAAATTCATGTAAGAATCAAACTAAAAAAAGATCACAATCTACAAAAAATTATTACACATCAATTCAATGATCATAAAATAGAATCTTTTCTTCTTTTGCTTTTTTTCGTTTTTTCTGCAATCAAACGTAAAAAAAAATAAACAAATAAATTTTTTAAAAAAATGAGTACCTCGGAAAAGAAAATAGAAATTTGGAGCGAACTGAATCGGAACCAGAGAAAACCCTAATCGCCTCAGCACGAAATGCTTTGATGAAAGGGTTTTCCAGGTACCACAAAGTTAATGGCGTTGTTGCGTTTAGTTTAACCGACTCACCAAAGGGGGAAAAGAGAGAGAGAGAGAGAGAGAGAGAGAGAGAGAGAAATGAGAGTTCAATTTGATGGAAAGTCCTAGTATAGTCATCAGACGTCTGTACATCACTGTTGGCGCCATGATACGTGTCGCTAGGCCATAGCTTGATTTTTTTTTGGCGGGGCCCAAAGGATTAGAATGGATGTTTTTATACCATAGTTTTTCTCAAAATAATAAAATATAGAGATGAAAAAATTTAGCCATATACTATTTTTTTTTTAAATTAATATTTTGGAGGGCAAAAATTATAGAGATATTTAGTGATATATCCATTCTTAATACTAAAGATATAGATAACCTTACACCATTTAATTTCTATAAACAAACACACAAAAAAAACCCAAAAAATGACAGTTGGTCCTATTGAATTTAATTTTGATTATTAAATTACTTTGATACTCTATTTAGTGTTTTGGGTTTTTTAATGGGGTTTTAGGGTTGGACTTGTTTTGAGAAATCAATGACAGTTTTGTAATTTATAAGAAGTTGAAAGCCTCTTTGTTATATTGTAAATGAGATTTGGGTGTGTTTCTAAAGTCCATTTTATATAGATTTTCTTTTATAATTTGGGCCCCTATATTTGGTATAATAGTGAATCTCCCAAAATTATAATCCTCGGCTACCATGACTGGAGATCGCCTTATGATTGTTATTTGGTGCTTTTAACTCATTTTTGTTATAATACATGTATTCATTTATTAATATTATACCATAGGTCTTCTTTAAGAAAGAAAATGTTATCCCGTTCCAATAGGTCTATGAAATATCAACTAAATTGGACTTTCATATTATAACACGTGAATTAGTAACACAATCTGACACTCTTCCTACTAACGTCAAATTTATTACCCAAATTTGTATTCACCGATGTCAAGTACTAGTGTTTTTTTTTCTCTTTTATCAAAGAATGTGAGGATTCAAACTTGAGATATTTTTCAACATCGGAATTTGGAAAGAGAGGTGCCAACCAATAGCTAGGTTAATTTTTGAAGGTGTCATATTTAACACTTAATGGCACCATAGTTGGGTTTCCCGTTACTTGCTAGACTTTAACAATGTGATAGTATTAAGCATGATCAATGTTTTTTAATTGATAATAAATGCCAAATTTGAAACGTCTTAGACATAAAGTTAAGGAAACAGAAGTTTAACAAAACAATGACCACCACAAGTAAAACGAGAGCTTTTTCTGTACGACTTCCCAAATCAGGGGCACTTCAAAATTTTACAGGATCAACAAGCCTGCAAAGGCAAACAAAACTTGGAAACGAAGACATAAATCACAAAACAAGTTGTATGATAAAATGCTCACATTCCTTCTGATATTAACACATTACATCTCTATACAAAACATATAACGACCGATGAATCCATGCACCTTTGCAAACCCCAGCTTCTATAGCGAGTATAAATGAACTATTGACGTTGACAACGTTAGACATCACCTATAAATGACATTCTGCATTCTCATACAAGGAAAATTCGCCAATTGAGTCCATCCTTCAAAACTCCAGCTATGATGTCTCTCAAGCAAAAGCCTGACCTGAGTTCATGCCTGTGCATGCAGGTTCATGCAGAATTGATGAGCTGCAAAACTTGAACTGCAAACTTGTCCGTTTGCCTCCATGAATACTTATATCGGCTGGAGTGCATTCAACTCAGGCCTTGTTGGATAATCAATACCCTGAAGAGCTGGTATCCGTCTTAAATCCTCCTCCGAATATGCAGGGATGAACCAGTACCACTTATCCGTCCCAAACACCTAACAAAATAAATGGTGAATTCACCAGAACAAACAAGCAACAACGTATTCTTCTGTGCATTACATCTTGCATCAGAACTTCAACTAGATCAGTTAGGTTGTAATATAACTTTCCAATTTAATCACAAGCTTACCAAAAGTATAATTAAAGAAAAAAATAAATCAGCACTACTTCCACCACAAGCAAAGTATACTTTCAGCTCTGGTCATCTATGAAGGTTTTGAAGTGATTTATGGGGGTTGGATCTGCTAAAATGATCTGATTTCATGTTTTCAAGGCATAGAATACACCTAGAAAAGGGGGGCGGGTACAGGGGGAGTTCATTCATCCTCATGGACATAAGCCAGGTTCAGATATTGCATTATTATAATGCTGTATAAGTTGGGTTGTTTTGCCAGGATAGGGCTAACTTTAGCATGAGGAGATGAGTGTTGGAACTAATTACAGCAGGAGCATATGGAGTTGCATATCAGTAATATCTGTTAAATGAGCTGAAGGTACCAGCTTACATTCTAACCTTAAACATGAGGATATGGCGCTACTTTTCTTATTAATGTTTTCCTTCTAAGAATTTTTTTTCTTAAGAAAAGCTTAGGGAAGGCAAAGAATCTAGCAAAACAATCAAAATATGAGAATGCGATAGTTATAATATTTACTTAACAAACACCTGCCCACACAAAAAACCAAAATAGACAGAACAAAAAGTAAACCTGTTCAAAGTTTTTCTTCCGACCAAGGTCATACTGCCATTTAGGAGTGGCTTTCTTCTCATATGCCTGAAGCAATCAAGAATCTCATGTGAGATATACAGTAAGGCCTAGCTATTAGTAATTTTTTTTTTAAAGTATAACAAAAGCCATCACCTCAATAGTAGTGGTATTGGACGCTACCAGTGATAGGTGCATGATCATGAAGCCAAAAACGCTCAAAGCAAATGCGAAGTTCAAAACTGAAAATGGAAATTACAGATATTTGAAAATACAGATGATACCAAGATTCTTTTTTCTCAGAAAAGAAAAATGGAAAAATCAAACTGGCCATCTAAAAACTTACCAAATGTGATAAAACTGGCTGCAACAGTGCCCAGTGTTCCAATTACCTCTTCTTCAGTAAAAAATGCCATAAAATACTTGAATAATGATAAAGTGACGAGAGTTGTCTCAAGAAATGTGTAAAACTGCAAAAAAAAATAACAAACATAGCAAGTCATTCATCAAATCAGCTCTAGTTTAGTTTGAGTAGATACCGCTTATCTTGCCAGTCAACAGAAGTGTACGCTCAAAAGATTTCAATACTAACGTAGTGCGCTAACATACCAAGAAGAGAAGGAAGTACTTGTAATTCAATGCCCCAACACAGTTGACCACCCACACACAATGATGGTCCATTTTCAATATGCACCTCCCACCTAAGACCAAATGCATAAATGAAACAATGAACCTTCCATTCTTTGTATACCACCAGATATACATATTCAAAAGAGAGAACTTTGATTCAAAAGTACTCACAAACAGAACAATGATGACATCGAGGTGGTTTAAAGTGGTTGCACTTCCTACAGAACCGTACTTTTTGATTTGCTGGGTCACTGACCAGTGTAGATTGGTCCGATCCCACCAATGGGGCTCCGTCACCTCCCTCCTCATCGTTTGCAGGCCTCCAATTCGGTGGAACAACCCCAGGATCATTTATAACAACATTAAAGTAGCTCCACAACAGCATCACCAACTACATAACCAAACTCAATACTTTCAATGTTACAATTGTCACCACTCTTAATTTGAAGTGTTTAAAATGGGAAAATTCAAAATCTCAAAACAGAAAAAGAAAATTGTAAAAGCTCCAATTATAATTGCTTGTTCCGAATAAAATGGGCAGCGTTTAAATTGTTACTCTCACCAGAGCAATTAACGACACTCACATGCATCAATAAGATTTCCCAGAGCAATTCAAAATCTCCAGCGATAACATTTCCCAACGGAAAGCTTTATTGCCACAGCAAAAAACTTATTAAGATAAGAGCAATGTACAAACTACAATCCTCTTAATTATGAGCACAACCCTCACATTCATGATTCGCTCTTCTCCTAATAACTTCACCTTTAGAAATAACATTCCCCCTAATTCAAAGTAGCAAAGAAAATGTCCAATAAATGCCAAGTACCCAGCTTGTTGAGAGTTGAAAACTCAAGTCACTAGCTTTATTACCCAAGTGCTTGTCTTTGGCTCAAAAACATCAATAACAAATTTCAAAGCATTTTACTTTCTGTTTATTTTATTGCTCAATATACAACTACAAATATCTGCATATCACCTATGCGTATGTGAACTTATGTATGCATATAATTTCTAGAGAGAGAAAAAAATTTGAGCATTTAACAACCAATCAAATTGAATTAAACATAAAATTTAAAAAGATAAAAACTTTAGGGGAATGGGAATTACCAGAAAATGGAACAAGATCAAGAGAGGGAAGGCAATGACGGCACTGAGGCCTCCGCCAAGGATAGCAGGCAAATAATTGGCCAAAACGACGGCGTAGTAGGTGAGCCCGACTATGACGAGAACCACGAGGACCATGATGTAGCCGAGTGCACGCAGAGCCGTACAGAGCTTGAACGCGTTCCACGCCATTGCTGCTGCTGCTCCTCCTGATCTTTGTATGACCTTACAGACGAATCAAACCAAATCAGAAAAAAATTCCTACGAGTTTGGGGAATTGGAATTCCATTTCCCCATCGGGATTTAGACGGAACGTTGACGAAATTTGATTAAAATTTGACGATGAATTCAAAGGGTTGGGAGACTAATTCAACACGTTGAGAAGGGAGGGACATTTGTTTTTTTTTTTTTTTTTCTTTTTTTTTTTTTCTTTGGACAGAATTATTATAAATAAATAAAAATTATTATTATTATTATTTTTTTTTAAAAGAAGGAATTATGGGTTTCTTGGTTGACAGGGCAAACGTGTATTAGACGATGAATTATTAGCAAACACATCCACTTTTAATTATGATATTGTCCTTAAATAAGATTACTTAAAATAACAAAAAGAATTTGATGTTCACTTCTCGTCATCCATCAAGCCCAGCGTTGAAATTGATGTTCACTTCCCAACCTGAGTGAGTTTTAGATTTTTTATCACTCCAGCCAGTTAATTATTGTGTCAAATGAAACAAACGTGTAAAATTGCATAGTTTGAAATAATAATAATAATAATAATATCGATGGTTTGATTCGGTTCAAAGTTTTCAAATAGATCAAACCGAATCGAACCAAATTACTTGCGATTTGGTTTCTTTCAGTCCAATATTACCAGTTTTTTAAGGTAAAACACTGGACAAATTGCTCAAATTGATTTAATTTGATCAGTTTGAATGATTTTTGGTTCATGCTTAATCATCACAGCCTAATGTGTTAGTTTTTGTCATGGCCAACAACACTAGTGTCGATCCAAAAAAAAAAAAAAAAAAAAAAAAAAAAAAAAAAACAAAAGATGACCATGGTTACCATATTAAAAAATTAAATAATGAAAAAAGTGGTTAGGGGGATATTTTAAGAATTCCAAAGGGTAATTTGAGTATAATTTTAATGTGCTAATCAATTGAATTAGAATTATCATTAAAAAATAATTTGAGGGCTTGTGCACGTACACAAATGCATGTGCAAAAATGATGCAATTAAAGTAGTAAAAGAGAACCAATTAGCTCTTTTAGTTGTGAATATAACTTTTCTTTCTAAAGTTGGTAGATCTCTCAAATTTCAATTCTTCGTCCCTCATTAATTAAGTAAAAACATAGAACGAGAAGGCATTAGTTAGATTAGAAGAAGAGAACGAATGTAAGTTGTGTGGACAAATTAGAAGTTGGACAATGTACACCTATTTCAATCTAGGTTGTTCAAAATGAGTAAATGACAAAGGTGTCTTTCATCCTTGTGATGAGACTTATTATAGGTATAGTTAGTAATAAAGTGCTTCCTCCCACACCTAAGATTATAGGTTGAGCCCTCATCTATTTGGAACTCACATGAATCGAAAAAGAAGAGTCTAAGAATTGTGGGGAGAGTTGTTGGATCTGACCATCCTTAATCTATTAATTTAGAGCATTCATAACGGTGATCTCTAAATTATGTCTCTATCAATAACTTTTAGGGTATGTTTTTACTAATAAGGAATCAAGATAAACATGAATTGGAGTATTCAAGAATCATAGTCAAACATTCCAATTAAGTTGTTTACTAATTGTCAGAAATCGAAATGAAAACAAAACTGATTCTCATTAAAACCATTTACTATTGTTAAGAATTGTAATCAAAACCAATTTGATTACCAAAATTCCCTTGCAAAATAAATTCAAATTGTTCAACTACTTACACAATTTTTCAAATGATAATTTTTGTTTTAAACAAAAAAATATATATTTACATGGAACAAATGACAAAAGTTGTGTAATCTAATAATAAAAAAACCTTTTTTTTTACAAAAACAAAATTTTTTAACGAACTTTTTATATGGTAATGATAAATCCAATTTAATATTCATAAAAATAACCATGTTTTATAAGTTTAATTATTACTTCCTTCTATATCTAAATATATATAATTAAGTTAAATATGGCTCGTTTGGGAGTGCTTCTTCCTGAAGCGCTTATGCCAGTAGCGCTTATGCCCATAACACTTATGACATAAGCGCTTCTACAAAGAAGCAATTTGTTGTTTAGATGTCACATTTAAAAGTGCTTTTACACTACATAAAAGCGTTTTTGATATTTTGTTGAGTGTTTGGCTAACACAGTAAAAACGTTTTTAAAAGTACTTTAAAAAATTTAAAGAATTCCAAAATACTATAATAAACATAGGAAATAAAAATTATATAGAGATGGATCCCTGCAAAAGACCAAATCCTTAGTAGTTAATTAAGGAGATAACATAGAGATGGATCTATGAAATCAGGTAACAATGGGGTCACAGGGCTGGGATTTGCAGCATTGTTAAAATCAGTAGACCTATATTGATTATCATAATGCTACATTGAAAAAACAACTAACCTTAGAATCACATATCAGATAAATAATTGAATGTTTGACCATGCAATTTGAGAATGCTTTGTTCAATTCCACCAATTCCATTGTTTTATTTTCTTGGTTGGGTCAGGAGTTTCCAAACGCTTGGTTTGAGAATATAATGACAACTAGTATAGCAAATCTCCTTCTTCCTAAAGAATTGGTTTGAGAACACATACCCCACTTACAAAGCATTTCTTAGGCTCTAGTTTCCAAAAATATTTCCATATACAGTTTTTAGAAAATAGTATAAAACAATGGCACTACAGTTTCTTAACCCAAAACTGAAAAATTATTTTAAAAACAATACGTTTCCACCTTTCCAGCTTGTTATGAACACCCTTTTGGCTGCATTGATTCCAGATAGTTTGCAAACGATCAAATCAATACAGATTGACCCAAATTAACGTATGAAACTGTTAATTCAATCAAGCCCACTGCAAATTTTACTCATGAAACAAAACAAAAAGAAATTGACAAGTCCATGCATACAAATTTCAAAAAAAAAATGAAAAAGACTTCAATTCGTACACACTAAATAAAAAACAATCAAAAACATGAAAAGGACTTCAAGGCAGAGAAGATCCAGTTTCATCCAAATAATAAAAAATCATAGAAGAACATATCCAATTAGAGAATTCATATAAGGAAATCCACAAACAAAGAATACCCAAATGGTTTTTAATGATTAGATTACGATCTGCAGGAAAAGCAAGGATGGCCATGGCCTTCAATTGATAGTCAGATCTTCTACCCGGAAAGAAACTATGAGGCCAAGAGAGAGAAATAACACGATGGAGTCTGATGCGAAGCGAGCGACAGAACAGATGAGGGTATTTTGGCGTTTTAGAAAATTACATAGGGTTATTTTTGGTGTTTTGAAATTTTCATTAAATGGAGCCAAGTGCTTCCCGTGTATTCACTTGGCAGCACTTTTATAAAGAAGCATTTCTCAAGTGCTTCTTAAAAAACCACTTCAAGTGCTTTTGAATCCCACCAAAAGCGCTTTTACAATTTCTGCCAAACATAATTTTTAAAATATAGAAGTGCTTTTAACAATTTCAAAAACACTCCCAAACGAGCCCTTAGGTTCAAAGAAAATGGTAGCAACTTGTTTTTTTTGTTTTTTGGTGTTTTCATAAAATATAATAGGGTAATTTAGGTAAAAAAAAGTTCATTCCAATTCATCCATGCTCAATACCACCTCCCTCATTCGAAATGCAATTGCCCTTATATCAAGAATTAAAATCATGATAACTGTGAGTCTCGCATCATTTTTCATTTCCAACATGCAAGTAAACAAAGGAGTAGTCAGAAATGAGACCCCATTCCTCTCACCCTTTCCAAGTAAGTAAATATGATATGCTTTTAGGTCCCGTTTGGTTCATAGAACGAATTTAAGGGGAAATCATTTCCCATATTATTTCCCAAGGGATGGGAAATGGAAGATTCATTTTCCATGTTTGGTAATGCTAGGAAAGTAACCAGGAGATATCATTCTATTTCATTTCCCATGTTTGTTTTGAGTATGAATGAAAAACAAAATTTGTATAAATTTTCAATTATACCAATATTAAATCAAATAAAAAAAATGCATTTAATGATATATTGTAATTTTAAATTATTAATAGGGACAAAATGGTCATGAAAAATGTTTATTTAATATTTGTTCATTTTCCCAAACTTTCCCATGATGAGAGAAAACAAAACTCAATTTTGGAGGATGACTTCACTTTCCCTCTACTCTCCCATACAACAATTTCCCATGTCTGGACTTACCAAACATGGAAAAACAATTGATTTTCCATCCCTAAATCTCCTTTCCCATGAACCAAACAGGGCTCAGAGATCAAGTTGAAATCTTGAAGGCTCCAAGGCATCTTAGCTTCAACGAAACCTCCATATTTGGGTTAAATTCAACTACAATAAAGAAGAACTTTCCTCGCACACTTGAGACCCTTCCTCGTAAGTGTTAAATACGGTTGATCAGCATGAGTAAAGAGAGTGGGGTTTCCCTGCGCGTGGTACTTCACAGCAGTTGGCTGATAGACCATATAGATGACACGAGTCAGCGGCTAACTTTGATGGCACAAATAGGAGAGAGAATCAGTCTCCTTTCTTATCGTACGCATGGACCACTCCACTTGGCGATGACTTCTCTCAGCCGCACTGTCTCATTTATTAACTTCACATGCTCACCCAATCTCATCCGTTCATACCCAAAAAACAAAAAACAATCCAATCTCATCTGCCTCACTTCCATCAAATCGAAAAACCCAATAAATGAGGGTAGATGGGGGTTCTGAGAATTGAGAGGAGGGAATTAAACATAGCAATAAATGTTGCACCTTCCAAAGACATCGTCTTAAATACACGACTCTGATTGAGTCTTCTTTTTTAGCTGCTTCATAACTTCTCTTAAAATAATTTCCCCAAATTCCCATATTTCTGAGCTCTCTGATCTTGACCCGCCGGATGGTTTCACACTTTCATCTTCCCCGTTTGTGAATGTCATAGTTACCTCCTCCTCATGCATCTTACTATTGGATAACCTAAATTCATTGCACTAGAAGCCTATGTACATAAACAAAACCTTTACCATTCAAAAACCTAATTTCATGTTTGCTTATTTGCAACGAAAAAATCGTAAATCAAGAAAGTCATAAATAGAGAAGAGGAAGAACGAGTATGTGATCATCAACTACTCCTCCGATCAGTCTATATATTGATTGCACTAGTATTGAATTATGAATTTTAATGCAAAACACACATTAGTAAATGCAAATTAAGAATTATAATCATTTCAATCTACATCCCATGTAAGTAAACATGCCGTCAAAAATTGATATGCAACAACCCTCTAATTAATGGCTTCCTTTAGAATTAGTAGCCCACATTACATAAATAAGAGGCAGAACAAGAAGGAATAATGAACTTTTACTTGATACCTGATTTTGATGCACACGACCCAGCTCTTAATGGTATTGCAGCATTCAAATTACATTTTCTACAACTTATCAGGTGGACCAACAAAAATTAATGCATATATATATATATATGTAGTACTTCAATGTGAATGTGAGTGAATACTACTCTGTTGTTCCTCCTTGTACTTGTTAAATTAGAGGACGCTTGTTTTAGTTGAGGTTTTAATTGAACTGTGGTCTTGCAATTCAAATACATTACATGAAAGTTAGTTTTTGAGTGAGATGCAGAGATATACAAGTGAGTGGAAATGTAATTTGTCCGTTCATATTTGTTGAATTGTTGTGAGTATCACACATTTAAGATGGAAACGCTCCATATAGTGTTAATTGATTTTGAGTTTGATACTCACATTCTAACATCGGATTATAACCATGTTATTAACTTGGCAAATCCAATTATCCCCCAGCATCCCATAAGAGCAGTTCCACCGAGAGGCTCTAGCTTAGGCAAGAGGTCCCCTAGGCCCCCAATATGGTTTCCAGCGCCCAAGTCTTGCTGGGCAAGAACTAAGCTCCACCAAGTTGATCTAATGTTGACGTCATTGTAACGTTTGCAATCAATTTAAATAACAAAAGAATTGAAGGAAAAAAAAACCAAAAAAAATTGTAATTTTATTTATTTATAAATACCTAGCCATATTCTTTACTTCTCACACCAAAACTCTATACAAATTCATTTCTTCATATCTCATGTGAATAGTTGTTGTTCTTAGGTTGCCATGAAAATTGGTGGAAAACCAACAAAAAAAAGACTATGACAGACACTATTTATGTGAATAGTAATAGACATTACATCTCGTTACCTTTTTTCATGACAAATGAATGAAAATGCTATAAGAATTGCTCACGGTACACATGATGGGGTGTGTTGAGTTGAGAGTAGTCTACTTCTGATATGGAAACCTAAAAGAGCTTAAAAGATATTGAGTTTTTACCTAACTCACTTTAAACGTGTTTAGTGGGTCAAGTGGGTCAAAATCAAGTTATTAGTGTTTGACAATAAGCTGCATAATAAGTCGTTTGTTATGCTCCTCTATGTAAGTAACCCTGCACTATCTATATAAGCTCTAACCTATCAAATCAAACTAATTATTATCTTATCGTTTTGGATGCAAGCAACTAGCTTAAGCTTCGTTTGACAGCGCGTGGGAACCAGTTTGCCTCCACGGTGATCCGTAACCATGATTACTACACGACAAAAATTCAAACATAAGAAAATGAAAAAAAAAACAAAAACAGACTGAAACACAGAGCGCAAGCAAAAACAGAGCACGAGCAAAGCAAGCACAAACCAAAACTCAGGAAGATAATAATGAGAAAAATTATATAAAATTATATAAAAAAACCCACGTATGTAGATATATGGCCATGACATCCACTCAACTGAACCATCCCAAACAATGGCACAACAAAACAACACACGAAAATCAAACATGGCTCCTCCTCCTTCCTCCAAGTCCCCTCCTCCTCCTCCCCCACCAACCCATTTCACCCCTGTAAGTGTTGATGCGTTTGTTTCTCGAGAAAATGATAGAAAAGAAAAGAAAATTTCCATCTTTCATGGCTAACTAAAGATACCCATTAGTTAGTTATTTTATTAATGGTTTGTTTTATTTTTGTTTGTTGGTTGCAGATTCAAGAATGTGATAAAGAAGGGCAAGAAGACGGGGATTGTACGGACATAGGAGTGAATTCTACCACTCCAAAGCACCACCACCCAACGCCTCCTCCTCATCACAAAAACGGCAGACGCCAAAACACAAAGCGCTCCGACTCTGCAGATTCAGTCACAGCGGAAGAAGCGGACGACGGGTCGGTTTCCTGCAACAAGTGTCGTCCAAACGCCAGGGAGAAGATCTCCGTCGTTCCTCTGGACAACAATGGGATTCACAACAGAAACGCCTCGTCGTACATGCCGAGCCCAAACGGCATTCTCAAGTCGATTTTGTCGTCGTTTACTCGGAAGAGCCCGAGAACGCCGACGGGGGCCTACACGACGGCGAGAGAGGAGCAGTGGAAGATAGCGGTGGCGGAGCTCTCGCACAAGCTGGTTCACGCTACGAGGAAGAGAGACGAGGCTCAATTGGAAGCCTCGAGGCTCAAATACTCCATGGCCGAGCTCGAGAAGAAGCTGAACAAGCTCGAAATCTACTGCCACAATTTGAAATCTGGGCTTGACGAATGTAGCGGCAGCAACAACTCGTCGCCGTACCAATTGGGCAAGTCCCAAATCAATCGACGGCATAGTTTTGGTGGATTCAGCCCAAACGACGTCGTCGAGAAAGTGGTGTTGGAGAATTTCTTGGTTTCGGTCTCGGAGGCCCGGAATTCTATCAGGGGTTTGAGCAGGTCGCTTACTATGCAGCTCCGGCACATGGGTTTCGGCAAAGTGTATGAGAAAATCTCCGGTCTTCTTCAACCTTACGACGTGAAGCTATCGGGTTCGAAAAACCCAAGAAGCTTGCTTTTTTACCTGGAGGCTCTGCTGAACAGAGCCTTCTTCGACGAGTTTGAGTCAGCTGGGTTTCAGAAGAACTCGTCCAGCCAAATCCTGAACCCAATGGAGAGGTGCGAGGCGAACTACACGTCGTTTAGTGTGCTAAAGGGCTTGACTTGGGATGAGGTTTTGATCAAGGGGACGAAGCATTTCAGCGAGGAGTTTAGTGGGTTTTGCGACAGGAAAATGAGTGAGATTGTGGCTATGTTGGGCTGGAACAGGGCTTGGCCTGAGCCATTGTTGCAGGCTTTCTTTGGGGCTTCAAAGAGCGTCTGGTTGGTGCACCTTTTGGCCAACTCGATTCACCCGAGCTTGCCCATCTACCGGATCGATAAAGGGGTCAGGTTCGACCCGGTTTACATGGAGGACATGGGCGGAGACAAGGCCGGGAAGCTGGTGCCGTCTGTGGTTAGGATCATGGTGGCGCCTGGGTTCTATGTGTATGGGAGTGTGGTCAAGTGCAAGGTGCTCTGCAGGTACAACAGCAGCAACAAGGATTTGGTCCAGTCTCCATCTTAATTATAGTTTAAGTAATCAAACTTTTTGAATTTTGATTAGATTGTTATACTTAATTTGCTGCTGGTTTGATCTGATTATGTGGTAATGATGGTTGTGTTACTTGTTAATGTTATGCGGTGTAATTTGGTGCTTGCATGGGATGTTAATTTTTTACATTTTGGGATCAAATGAAACTGGAAACTGGAAACTGGCATTTTTTTTTTCCAAAATTTTGTTCTGTTCGTTTGGTCCCTTCTGATCTTATACTACTAATTATAAAACAACCACTAAAACTGTCTTCATCCAACGGTCCTATTTTATGAAAAGTGGATAGAATCGTAGTTACTCAAAATATATAGGCTAACAAAGATTAAAGATGCTTCTCTTATGAATCATTTTTGAATCTTCTAAATCCGAGTTGTGCTATATTTTAGTAGATGTATGCTGAAACGAATTGGGAAGCCGACGAGTGAAATGTTGATGCACGTCGACGAGTGAGGCCGACGAGTGAATATTGATGCATGTGAAGTTCATAATGCATCGACTGTTCAATTTTGCCTACGTGTATTTTAGCGTATCATGTTGTGCAATAATGAAAGGAAGCTGTTCTTCTGAGTATTGAAAGCACAGTGCCCTATGGCAGAAGCCGAAAAGCACAAGTCGTAGTTGAGCCAAAGATTTTTGACAAGGAAATAGTGTATTCATATTCATATGTAAGGAAATCTAGTCACTCCTTGGGATCAACTTCAAGCATGCCTGCAACTTCATTTTGGATTTTCTTTCACTGTCCTAGTATAAAATACACGGGTCAAACTTTCACGGTATACAATGTTATTGAGAAGGGAGAGAGACGTTTAGATGTTTCTTTCTTTCTTGTTCTTTTGCTTTGTAGGGGTGATGGGGAGATAAAATTATCATTGGAAAAAAAGAAAATGTACTGGGCTTGGAGTTTGGTTGGCAAAAAAGCTATTGTGAGTGGCATATATGAACTTTTAATCAACACAATTATTTCATTAAACTTAAGTGAAATTACTATTCAAATAAATACTGTGACTAATATAAAGGTTCACATCTATGACCCGTATATTATACCCTCGCTATAAAACAACTCCTTTATCAAAACACCTAAAACCATTCCCTTATGGTGCGTTTGGATGAGGGAAATAAACTTGGGATTTTGACAAAACTCAGAATTTATAAATTGACACGAACCAAATTCCGGTGTTTGGATTAAAAAACATAGAAATTTAGAAATTCCGCGTGGAAAAAAACATGGAATTTGGAGATCATAAATTCCAAGTTTAAATTCTATCTAAAAGTCGTCATTTGTAAAATCCCAAGAGAGATTGAGTTTTTAAAAAAGATAACTTTACAAATAAAGGCTAAATTCCGTGTTTTAAATCAGTCATCCAAACAGGAAACTTTACAAATTCTAGAACATTAATTTCCGTCATTTTAAATTCCATAATTTGTGAAATCCTTTGTATTTTAAATTTCTTCATCCAAACACACTATTAAGCTCTTTATGTTACGCACTTGTTATTGACACATAAAAAACGTCATATTATGCATCTATTCCGTAATTTTTACAAAAGAAGCCTTGTTCATGCAAATGATTCTGATATTTAAAATATACGAAAGAAAAAAAAAAAGATTTGTAAAGGTATGACGCGATGCCACTAAAATTTATCAGCTAATGATTTCTCCAGGAAGATTGATCTCCACCAAGCTGAGATAGAGCGGAAAGGCACACATGATTTCTTGTGTTTCTTTGCCCCACTGCGCAGTTGTCCCTCTGAGACCATACAACACCGCCTCTTTACAGGCTGGAGATCTACAAGAATTTGGATTTCTCTGAATCACCCCATCATAACATTTCTCAGTTCCTCTGAGATTGGTTTTATCTGAAAATTTTGAAACATTAAGGCCGTTGGTAAATGCCAGAAGTGGCTCCAGCAGAGAGTGCCGCATTCACGTCTCTGCAATCTTATGAACGGCAATTGCTGATAAAAAAAAAGTATCTGCAATCTCATGAAGGACAATTGTTGATAAAAAAAAAAGCATACGTAATCTCATGAACGACCGTTGTTCATTAAAAACTCCCACATGCCAACTTCTTGGGGTGGGGTGCGATGCCAACTTGGGGATGGGCCAAGTGGTGGTTGATGGGGCTGAACTGTGGGGTCTTGTATATATATATATATGGCCTGGAGATCAGACAATTGCCTCCGGGACACTCTGAGCTGACACCAATGCCATTTGTTCAATTTGAGAATGGGGCCAATACTGGCACCTCCGAGCTTATGGTACCTTTGTGATGTCGCTCTCTTAGCTTTCCGTTATGCATATATATATTTTTTTAAGATAATTTTTTTATTAAAAAAAAAATTGTGGAAAACAAATAGATAGGGATAGGCTTATAAGCGTGGTAAGATTGAAAAAAAAACATTTGGGAACTAAACGAAATAAATAAGGGATCTAAATCTAACTTCTAAAAAATAAGTGAGTAAGGCCAATTGTTTTTAACACGTGTTAAAAAAGTATAAGTGAAATGAGTGGATTATTAGAGTAAACGTGGGCCAAACAAAAAGTGAGACTGTATACAATGGGAGTTTCATCGGTAAGGATTTTAAGGTTAAGGAATTTTTTTTTTTTTTTTTTTTTTTTTTTTTTTTTTTTTTGAAAGATGAAATTCATTCCAAGACCTCACCCAAAAAGAGAAAGGCACATAAACAACAAATAAAGCAACCCAGTAAGGAAACACAAAGAAGCTAACTAATCTACAATATCATATAAACATGAACAAACAAACTGTCCAAGATAATGATATCATCATATAAACAAAAATAAAAATGACAGAACTAACTGGATTAAAAACATCAAAACAACCTAGTAAGCAAAACCACAACAGATTTGCCACCATAAGCCTACTCTCAGAACAACCCTAAGGAAAGGGAAACAGAACCATGAGACATGAAAGAGGCGGTGTGAGCACTCGAGCCGTAGTGGTGCCGTGGCTCTACGCAAATTTCACAATGTACGCGAGATGTTGCATTTCAGGTTAGCTGTTGTAGTCAAGAGATGAAGCTAGATCGAGAGGGGAGAAAGAAGGTCTGAGTGATGAATGACATCAACCCAAGAAGCTCAATCTCCACCAAGTTCGAAATCACCAATACACCTAAAGGAAGGCAAGGACCAATTAGAGGATAGCCAAGGACAATTTTGCTAGGCCCGAAGCTTTCGTAAGCATATATATATGAATAGGGCTTCATGCCTCTATTCATGTGTACTCCCCCAATTCTTCATTATTCGTATTTAAACAACTTTAAACCCGTGGTTAGGGTTATGTTATGTTATTCCATATTATCAAAAAAACTAGAGGTTCCCTCATTTCTTCATGATGGATTCACGTCATTTCTTTTTTAATTTATTTTTTTGAAATATAAAAATGCACGTAAAAACCAGAAATGCCAAAAAAGAAAAAGTCAAATCTTCGTCAAAGCCACAACAACAACAGCAGCAGGCATATAAATTTCCAAATTTTCCTCTGAAAAATCTCGACAACAACTACAAGAAAATAAATATAACAAATGAGAAGAAGAAGGGATCAAGTCTTTTCTTTTTCTCAATTTCTCTGTCTCCCTCTCTCTTTCTCTTTCTCTCTCCTCTTTCTTTCAGCCAAAACGCGAATTGTATTTGCCGGTTCAACATTCCCTCAAAGTCAACACGTCACCAACCCATTACCTTCGGAATTAAAATCATCCATTTTCGTAATTAACTTCCACTTGAAGAAAGAAAACTAGAAAAAGAAAAAAGAAAGGTAAATTCCATTCTCTCTCTCTCTCTCTCTCTCTCTCTGCGACCTCCACCACTGCGCGATCTCTCTCTCTCTCTCCCTCCCCGAGTCTCCTGCTCGCGAATCGATCGGTCTGGAAAGGAAGAAGAAGAGAAAGGAGAAAAAGCTAGGACTATGTCGTTCTCCGACTCCGATTCGTCGTCCTATGGCGGCGACTACAAGAATTTCAAGCAAATCAGCCGTGACCGTGAGTTCCCTACCTCTCCCCCTTACTCGTTGTCCTTTCAATTCACTTCAATTTCTTTGATTATGCATTTGAATAATTAGTGGCCATCTTATTCAAGCTGTAGGTAAACGAATTTGTGTTCTAATTGGTTTAGACTTTATTGGATACTGAATGATTTAAGTGATTTAGTAAAATGGCAGTAGACGTTCAGAAATTAGAAGTTCAATGAATTTATGGAGTTAGTAATCTGTGACTGCATCTACAATTGGTAATGGATGAACTATAAGGTGAGATAGCTAGCTTATGCTGTGTACAATGTGGGAGGACCAATTATCCGTTGTGGTGCAATTTGCACCAGCTAGGGCAGATTGTATAGGTTGAAAATCTTCTGATAAAGTTCAGAATTCTTTTATAGGGGTGTTGACCAGCTTGTTCTAAAATATGGATCATCATTACCTGTTTTTCATGATTGTGGAGAACTCATTTTGGATTACATTCATTAGATAAGTTGCTGTTACTCTTTATGATTGATGCCGACGTTTGTTATTATAAATGTTGTTAGATATCAATATGTTAAAATTAGAGTTTGTTGTGTGGCCATTTTCTGACAGATCGCCTGGTAATTGATCTTTTTTGGTTATTTGTCCCAAATTTTATGTTTAGGATTATTGATTGAAATGCTTCGGTCCTGCAAAACGGGGGACTCAAAAGCAACCTGGAAGGTAAATGCAGCTTATATTACGATGTCATTCGTGGTAGATATATGCACTGCTTGTGATTATTTTGGAGGATTCATGCCCCCTTTTCTCTCTCCACACGCATTTGTATACATGTATATCTATTATGTATATCATGCATCTGTCTTTTGATTTATAAATTGATGTGCAAATAATTGAAAAGTGTTTTCATATATTGCATATAGTTTCAAGTAATATCTTTGATAATTTTTTTTAATTTTCTGTAAGTTTAGTATCGTATTTGTAACTTTTAAAAATTAAAAAAAAATTTATCAAAATAAGTATCGGGAATTTTTTTGAACGTCAACAGGAAATACATGTCGTTCTGCTTGTTTTTCTTTTGGGTCTATGATTGATAAAATTCACCAAGTGTACTGTTAAGGGTGTTTCTTAGTTTTATGTACTCTGGAATATATTTGGTCAATGAATGATTTGATCAAGGACTAAAGGACTCTTAACAGTTGGGAAATGTGACACCATCTTTAGGGTAATGAATTATCATATTTCTTTTTATTTTGTTAACCCATTTGTTCTGCAATAAGCTGCCACACACATTGAATTTTCTCACACTGGCTAATATCCTCCTCTCTCTCTCTCTCATAAACTGGTTGATGATTTTCAATGTGATAATATTCTTCTTTGGTTACCGGCACGTTTCATGTCGTCCTTGAACCTATGTCTCTGCAGGTACTTATTATGGACAAACTCACTGTTAAGATAATGTCTTACGCGTGCAAAATGGCTGATATTACAGACGAAGGCGTTTCATGTAAGAATCAAAAGGACCTTTCTTGAGAAGGTTTTTTGCTCTTTTGGGTGTTGTCTTGGTATTAGCTTTCTGCCCAATCTATTTTGTTACCAGTTGTACGAAGAAAATGCTACAATGTTATTATCCTCCTGTTTTTTTTTGGTCAATCACAATTTACCTAAACTTAGAACAGCATGCTGCATGGTTTTTCTTATGTTTGTGCTGTTGCCGTTCTGGCATTGCCTTATGTTTGTTTAATCAGTTGTCCTGTCTTATGGGCTGAGGTAAGCATTCAGTGGTCCAGTTAGGCAAACTGATAGACTAGTTATATCTCATGTGATTATAGATTTGTGAAAAAAACATCGTTGACATTTTAAGCTAATAAGTGGTTGCCTGTTTTCTTCTCCCCCTTAAGTTTTAATTTTTTTTTTAAGCCAATCAATTATGATTCTATATTGGTATTCCTTTTATTACATTTTCAGTAGTTGGTTTTATTTCTACTAGTTAACGGAATTCGTATTTTCTTGCAGTGGTTGAAGACATATATAGGCGAAGACAGCCATTGCCCTCCATGGATGCCATATACTTCTTCCAGCCTACCAAAGAAAAGTACTACTGATTTAATTTTTTTCGTGTTAATTTATACTATTAATGTTATTAAGTAAATGACGATTGATACTTCTTAGATAGATTGGTTCTTCATCCAGCCTTCCAAAGAGATGTAATACTTTTTAAACTTTGTTGGGATTAATTTTCATGACCAATTTTTAACTATATGAAAATTGATACCTCTTTTATAGGTTAATTGTACTTTTTCTCTGTTTTACTCAGTCTATGCTTTGCTTGTTCTTGCTAGTTCTTTTTGTCTTTTCCCTTAGATTATATTTAAAAGTGAAATTAGAGTTAGGTGATGAGGGGGCGGAGAGGGGGAGGGGAAGGACTCGGGACTAATGCCCTCTCCTTTCCCCATTGATGTAAGAAGAACTAAGAGTTACCCTTCTAATCTAATGCCATGCATAGGTGGACTGCTTTGTGAATCTGTATTACAGAACATCATTATGCATTATACCAATTCTGTTTTGAGCCCAAACGTGAGAGAGAAAGTGAGAGCACATTTTGTTATTAAGTATGCTGTTATGTAAATGAGTCAATCTATGTGTTGAATGTATTATTATTGTAGCATTTTGGTACTATGGTTCCTTAATGAATCTTTCCAGAATCTGAAACCATTTTTAGTCATCATCCAAATAACTTAAGCTTTAAGGAATATTGGTAACTAACAGAACGTATCATGATAGTGGAGTGAGAGATCCTGTATTCAAATCCCTACAACTTAACCTCGCAGTTTATGTTATTTCATGGTTGGATTCTCTAAGGGTGAAGAGAGGCTCACACTTGAAGTGAGGTTAGAATATAAAGCACTTATTGGTTCACATCTGAACAACTTAATCTTTTGGGAGTAGT